CATCTGAAGCTGCCATGGATATTCTAGTTGTGTTTCTGCTGGTGGGCATAGGTGATGCTGGAGGCATGATATTGGTGATTCTTTGCAACGGTAACCTTATTTTTGATGGACACAGCGGTGGTTTTTTCTCCATTTTGGCCTTCTCTGCTGCTTGTTTAAGTGGTGGTCTAATAGAAGCAGCAGCAGCAAACACTTTCGTTTCCTGCTTTAATCTGGTTTTCCGTTCCCCTGCTAATTGATTTTCAAGGTCACGAACCTGTCATCAAATACCAAAGAAGGAAAATAATACAAAATATCAGGAAGAAAACATCAGAATCTAGATGGATACTAAAATGTTCATGATCTGGAAAAGCTGTCCAACAACCCAACCGAGAAGCTGAACGTGGTTGCATCTCAGAAAGAACTGCTTAGGTTTGTTTAATGATAATTACCTTTTCTTGCAGACTTTTGCATATATGTTCTCTGGCTGCCAGTCTCAACTGCAAGGACTGTATATTGTCCTGCAACTTCTTCGTTTCCTTCTCATCATGTTTTAACTTTTCTGCCTGTTAATTAACAATAACCAGAGGTCAAACAAATTGAACCCGCCAGAAAAGTTGGAGGTAAAATTTTAAAATTTCTGTCAATGTGCCATACCATTTGCTTATACTTGTAAACCTCAGTGAGATCCACCTGTTTGCGGGCAGGACCACTTTCAATCCCCCTAACTCGGCTAGCAAAATTTGATGAACAGAGGGTCTCCCCAAGGTCTGCAGTACTTGGGCTGATCTGCACAAACATCACGGTCTTGCAATATCCTCCTGCATTTCATGATTCAGTATTTCAGTTAGCACCGGGATAATGATACCCATGAAGTTTTCCATTAGGCCACTAAACATGAATAGAGAGCCTTCATGGGCATTCTTTCCATATTAACCAGCTTTATGTATAAGGGATCTACTTCCAATGATACTATGATGAGACAAAAGCTTACCTAGAGAGCTCTGTAGCATATGTGTGAGCTTTGAGTTCCTGGTTTTCCATGGAAAAGTAGAAAGAGTAAAAGCACTAATGTTAGACATGCATATTTTTGCTGTGTTGTGCGCATGTCATGTGTGTGTATGCAAGAGGGAGAGAGAAAGGGAGAAACCTGTAAGGAATATGGCCAGTTTTGGATGCAAGGGCAGAAATCACATCACCAAGCGCTGAGAGAGATTTATTTATAAATTGGGATTCCTTCAACCGTTCACCTTCAACTTCAATCTTTCCCACACGCTCACTGCCAGCCAAATCTACCAGCCATAGGTGACTCCTAGTTTTTTGGCCATTTATGAAATTAGTTCCCCTTACAGTTACACGCAGTAAGCTGCAAAGAGACAATTTTTGGGTTATTATAGTAAAACAGAAATGTTTGGAAGCACCATTGTTTCTCAGCCAATGTTGTTGAATACCAAAATTTTCTGATTTATTATATCACAAAAAGTCTAGCATCTTAGACATAATTCAAAAGCAAAACAAACAGAAAGTAATATATTACCAGTGAGAACGGCTACTTAATTCATTGGCATTGGTGGCTCCAACAGATCTGACCTGGCTTCCAGACTTTAGCAGCTCCCACACTTCCTCTGTACTGTAAACATGAGCTTCAACAAGTCCTGGAACTTCTTGTGTCCCTTCTGCTGCTTGCTCGATCTCCAACCTTTATAAACATAATGTAGGACTTCAATTAGGAAGTCAAATTCTCTAAAACTGTTCTTAAATTACTCTTTAGGAGACATTTTAACCAGAGACCAGTTAGAAATTATTAGGTTTATTTTATTTTCCAATATTAATGGTGTCATTTTCTCAACAGATTGCTCATAAGAATAGTTATTGAAGTTTGTGCCATTAGATTTTTTTCTTCATGAAGAGAAAAGTAAACTGATGCTCAAGCTGGACATAGATATAAGTGTGAGTTTGCAACCACACTTTAATAATTTGCCAACCATATACAAATTAATGTTAGGAAGTCAAAACTAAGACTTAACATGATTCCTTTTTTGGCCTTTCATACAGCTGACAACAGAGTTATGGGATATAAGGCTTAGTTTGTTGTTGTTGTTATACAAATTAATGTTAGGTACTAACCTTTTAGTAGGCTGGTTGGAGTTTTCTCCTAGCAGGTCCCTTATCTTTTCATTGTAGACCTCCATCATGCTAACAAATAACTCATATTTCATCACACCAATTCTTTCTCCAGAAATTCGAAACAACTCCTCCAATGTCCTGTAGTTAACTCCCCTATTTTCTGGTGTTCCCTCCATAGTAAATGTTTTCCCAGTTCCAGTTTGCCCATAAGCGAATATGCAGACATTATAGCCATCCAATACGGAAGTGACAATGGGTTTAGTTTGTGCAAATACAACCTCTGCACAATTAAAAAGAACACAGAATTAAAAACGTTTTCAGGATGTAGTTAACTCATTCAAGAGATCTCAGGTTACCTTGGCCATCCTCCGGCCCAAATACATGGTCAAACTTGAATTGCTTCTTGGAAGAATCAGAAGAAATTATCTGTAGCTCAGAATCTTGGTTCGAGTCAAATTCAACTATTGAAGAGCACCCATTCGCAATTTCAACTTGGTTTAGTGGTCTACATCTGCAAAAAACTCTGATGTTTCCTTTAAGTTCAATCACTTCATTGTAAAGGCGTTTCCTCTCTGATGACTCATCTAGGTATTTCTTCTTTAGAAGTTCATATCCATTATCTATAACCAGCCAGGAAAGAGAAAAGCAATTCAAACCAAAATAAAATAAAATAAAAACAAAGATCCAATTACAGTAGTTTCTTCAATCTATTGGGTACTTACTGAGAAGCTGAAGAGTTCCTACAACATCATGATCAGGAAAAGACTTCATTTGATTAGACAGAATTTCATGCTGTTTCTTCAAATTCTAGGACATTAAGTTATGGAAGTTATCAAAGCCAAATTTTTAAACCATTATCAAAAACGTAAACAAGAAAATAACATCAAGTTTATTAAAAAAAAAAACCCTATTAATCAGAGAAACAATAGCCTATTCTGCTTTACCTGAACACTGTTACTCAAATTAATAACTTTCTGTAATATGGGAAGAGTTGGCCCCTGAGCCAGAGAAATTTCTTGGTTCATGTTGAACATAGTATCCTCATCCATTGAATTGGTATTCTCTTCTAATGATTCTAAAGAAACAGCCAAAAATCTTCACATTAATATTCTAATTATACAAAGATTAGCATTTGAAGCATGCAAATGCACCAATATTAAGAAAAACAGAAGAGTTACAACACATAATCTAGGCAATACAAAGGGCTCATGAACACTAATCAAGAGTTCTAATTAAGCCAAAACAAAGGCTTAAAATCAACTAAATATATGCCACAGATTCTGAAGTTTTGAACTGAACAAGCAAATCACAAGAATCATCAATCATCTTCAAAAGTACAATCCAAGAACGCATTTTCTAGGATTTCGAACATGTAAAAAATCTCAAATCGCTAATTCAAAATTTGCCTAAATACTTTCTTTAAAATAAAGAAACAAAGAAAAAAAAAAGAATGAACCTTTTGATCTAAAAAGATTTTTTTTTTTTTTACGAATCAGAAATTTTGAAAAAAAAATTGAAAAAAGAAAAACAAAGAAACGAAAGCGCTAACCTTTATCAAGAACGCTCTGACCGCAAATCTCCGACCACGTTTCCACTGTTTGACAGATTTTCCACAAAATCAAACAAAGAATTGAGCCGTTTGATAGGATTCGATTGGGAAGAGAGCTGAGAGCGTTGAAACTGGAAGGGTTGGGTTTTGCTTTTTGATTGGATTCGATTTTGAATTCCAAAGAATTGAGCCGTTTGATTGACATAGCTGTTTCTAACGGCTACTTAATCTCTTTAAGGAGATCGTAAGCTCGGGTTTTTAGAGTTTGGTTTCGGGTAGTTTTAACCCGATTAAATAATATGGACCAGTCTTTATATTCTAAAATATCTTCTCTTTTTTTTATTAAAATTTCTTATTTCAGCCTAGATTAGTTTGTTTAATAATAAAAAATTAAAAACAAAAATCAAGGATCGGATTATTTGTCAAGATCCAAAATTTTATTCCAATTTTAAAAGAATTTAAACAAAAAATTAAAATTTGTTAAACAAATTAATTTAACTGTTAAATTTATTTAAATTTTGAGTCAAAATTTAAATAAAAATAATTAAAATTTGAACTCGACTCAATCAAATTTTAAAAAATATATAATTAAAACATTATAATTATATAAATATATATGTGAATTTTTATTTTATAGTTTATTTTAAAAAATTATTATAAAAATTAAATTTAATAAATACATTTGAGATTTATTTTTTTTAAATTGAGTAAAGTCTAAAAAAGTTTTAAAAGTTGAAATATATGATTGAGTCAAACCCAAATAAATATATATGTTATTAATATCAATAATAAATTTAGCTCAAATTTAATCAAAATTCAATCCGATCTGTCTTATAATTTCTTTTATTCTTAATATAATTTGGTGCACCTACAATTTTATTTTTTAAAAGAAAAAAAAGTTTTTAGAAGAGTAAATTTTTAGGTAATTTTTTATATAAAATGAATAGATAATTAAAATTTAGTCATGCCCTTGTTTTTAAAGAGAGAAAATAATTAATTTTCATTATTAAAGATTTATTTGGATTAGTTTTAGCGTGATTAAAAACATCAATATGTAAAATTATGTGAATCAAAGCGTTAAAAGGGAAAATAAAACACTTGATTTCTCCATAAATGATGATGGGAGTGAAAAAAAAAAATTTTAAATCAATTTAAAATTATAATACTCAATTTAGTTTCAACTAATTTTTTTATTCAATTCAAATTTATATTTAATTTTAAAATTTTATAATATTATATATTATTAAAAAAATCAAATCAAATTCAATTTTATCGGAATTATTATAAGCCATGTTGTATATGTTTTTTCTAATGGTAGATTATTTTGCCGTTGGGACAAGCAAAAAGAGAACCGTTACCCAGTACTCAAAAAGGACTCTCAATCTCCAACCAAAAGCTTGTGACTTTGGGGTTTGAAGATAAAAAACAGTAACTGAAACGAATCCGAAGATTAACTCTTCTTCATGGGTATTTAGAGAAACAAAGAAAGGGAGGAGCGGAGGAAGAGCCAACAAAACGATTCCTTTGAGCAAGACCCACATTTGTTTATATTTCTTTCTGGCAATAATGGTTGCAAGAACCCCACCAAAGCAAAGGAAAATTGTGGTGGCTCCTCTTAATCCTGTCCTACTCAGAGAAACTGTAAAGAAGGTAAAGTTGGGCACTTCATTTTCTAATCAACTATGAGGAAAAGGTCCTTTTTTTGGGCTTATGGGGTTTTTGTTGTTTGATTGGGATTGTGAAGGTTGAGAAATGTATGGCAAGATTGCAAGAGTTGCAGTGTACGGTGGCAGGAGGGACAAGGGTGATATCAGGGTTGAGTCTAAGTCCAAGAAGTACTAGGGGTTACTTGAGGACTAGTCTCAGGTGCAAGCAAGAGTCTTTGAGGTATGCTCAGAACCATGGCAAAAGCCTGAGCCTTTTGTTTTGTTTAAGCATACTAAATTGGGTTCTTTTCAATTTGAAGGATCAAGAATCCTGCCCCAAGGAAATCACCAGTTGGGAAGTTTCCACCCATTGCAGGAGGTCTTCCCCTCTCTCTTTCTGTCTCTCTCTCTCTCTGTGATCAGATTGGACAAATGGGTTTTTTTTTCTATGTTGAAAATTTGTACCCATAATTTTGCTCTCTTGAGAATTGTTGTTTGAATTGCTCATTGTTTGATGAAATGAGCTTAACTGCATAAAATGCTTTTAGGTTTTTTTTCAAAGTTCAATTGGATTCTTTCAACTTTTAATGCAGGCGAATGGAGGAGAATGTCATTGCCAGCAATGCTAGTAGGAGAAACAGTGGCAGAAATCCTTCAAGCAAGTCAATTTGCAAGAGAGATACTGGCAGCAGTTGATAGCAAAACAGAGAAGACAACTGCTGAGGATCCAAGAACTCCACCGCCTGAACATAGACAGCAAAGACTACAGCCTGAAAACATTGAACTCAGAGCTAGAAGAAAGAGGGAGAAACAGAACAAACTGCAACTAATTCGGACAGAATCCGACTCCCCATCTCTTCAAAGGGCTCGTTCCAGGATCAACTTCAAGGTTTCTCCTCCCAAATTCAGGGAATTTGATAGGGAAAACAATAGACATGTGGCACATAGGGTGTCACCAAGGAATAGGCCATGGGCTAAACAGACTTTTTTATTCCCAAATCCTTTGTTCAGTTCAACACCAGCTTCACAGCAACAAAAGTTCTGCAAGACAAGGTTTCCGGTGATTGCAAGAAGTAGGCAAACTCCACATAAGTTCCTGATTAAGTCGCCTCCATCAGTTTCGAAGTTTCAAGTCAAGATAAAGAGCCCACGCATGGTTTCTTTATCCCCCACAAGATCAACAAACATGAGCAAAAAGTCACCAAAGGTGTCAGCTGCTTCCAAGCTGCGTAAATCGTTTTCACCTTCTCGATTGGCAAACAGATTGATGTCTCCATTGAAGGGCAGAACAAGTTTGCAAAAAAGTAAAGGACCGAAACAGCGTCCAGGCCTAAGCAATTCTCGACTGGGAGAATTTAAGGGTCATGATCTTTCTTTGATTTATCAGTATGGCTTGAAGTAAACTGTTCAAAGATAATATTTCACAATGCCAGCAGTTGATTTCCTTACATATCCATGTAGTTGGTTGATCTTTCCATTTTATTGATTGATGTAAAAGTTTGTGAGATAGATTCAATCAGGAACTCTTATGGAGTCTGAGTCTTTGGTTCAGTTGGCCTGACTGTTAATAAAAACAAAGCGTCAAGGTATTCTACATCCTCTGATGTCAATTGTAAGCATGCATGCTTTTGGCTAAATTGCCATATATCACAATCTTATTATTATTATACCACATCAGTAATACAAATATATGCACCAGACAAACTTGAGGAAACATATACCAAACCCCTCAAACCAGTAAACCACCCAGAATAGGCAAAGGAGGAAAAAATATATATAGTATCACCAATTTATATGTTGAGTGAACAATGAGAAATTGCATAGGAGCTAGAGATGTCATAGCGGCTTTCATGGGAGCCAGAAGAAGCACACTCCAAATGAAATTGTAGATGTTATGATGATGAACTCTTGAAAGGAAAACAAAACTTCTCAAGAGGCATCGTTAACTGTAACATGCACTCATTTGCCCGGAGATGCAAACCTTGTCCGGTCTCTCTGCCTATTTAAGGCCCGATCCTTAGGTGACGAAGTCTTCCCTCCCACACCTGCTTGGCGTAGCATCTCTGCAAACATTTCGCTATTATTTGCTAAATTATATGGACTATGAAAATCTGGATAGTCACCATATTACTACCTAAAGACAAACTTGCTAGTTGAAGAGACATTTATCCTACAATCTTATGGCAATACAATGTTAAAATCATGAATTGGAGACTAATTCAGATAAGCTGCCATCTAAGGCAGATTTCTTAAGCTATGTTTCTCAAGGAATTATCAGGCATGGGCAGCAGTAGCTACCAAATTTGTTTTGAGCATGACATCAGTGAATTTTTGGGAACGCATAAGGATTCTTGAGTAATATAAATAAATTAATTATTCATTCCATGAAAAAATCACCATAGTCAACCACTTAGTAAGCAATATTGGGAAGAAAAAAAAGTGGTAGAAGGGAAGCAGGACAGAAAGGAACCAAGTATATCTACCTCGCTTTCTCTCAAGCTCTTGGTCAAGCTCTTCTTTCCACTTCCTCTGTCTCTCAGAGAAGATTACACTGTACATAACAAATGATTGCATTTCAGATTACTCCATAACAGAGATTCAGTATAAGGGCAGGCAACAAACCAATCAAGTATGAACTAACCTTGGGCTGCTTGGTTCTGGCTGGCCATCAACTAGAAGCCCTTTCCAATCACTATGCTGAGGTGATGAATTGTCCTGTGGAGTTTGGTCACTAGCATTACCAATATTTGACACTCGCCTGCTATTGTTACTCCCTGGACTTCCCGTACTAACAGCATCAGCTGCCGAAGATGGGGTGCTAATAGGACCACGACTTGGGGATCCACTTTTAGGAGGTAATTTCAAGTAATTTGGGGGTGTCTCATCACGTTTATTTTCAATAAAACTAGGGGAGCATGTTAAATTCAAACTGTTGTAAAACTCTTCATATAATGGTGTTTGCAGCTTCTTTAGTTCCAAAGCCTGAGGTATTAGTTAACGCTTCATTGTCACAAGAATTTGTAAGACCAATTTTAAAAGAATCTAACTGCAAAAGAGCTAAAAAAAAAGTACCTTCTCATCCAAAAAGGCTCTAATTTTTGATTCAGTGAGTTCATCATCATCTTCAGAGAGTGATGGCCCACAAGTAAATGAAGAATCATTGCCCCCTTCACCACATGTTGTAGGGCGACCAACAGGCACCATTTCAGGATCTTCACCAAATTTGCTCTTCCAGTTATGAGAAGGTTCATAATAGGGATCAGAACTCTAAGTAAAAATAAGATGATTAATGAATTAGCACTTTAACACTAAAATGATTAAAATATCTGAACCTTGAGAAGAGCATAGAAGTAGTTACCTTGTTAACATTATCAAGCATTGAAGCAGAAGGAAGCCTTACTTCACTTACCATAGAATCATCTTTGTCAATCTGACACATATCATCTTTACCGCAGTTCATTCTCCACATGCCTTTGCTTTCTGAAAACTTATCGACAAATGTGTTTGAGCAGTTCAGACTACCCAAGTTACAGATATCTGCTGAGTCAGGGCACATTGAAACTTGACTGCAAAGAAAATTGATGCTATTGTTAAAGACCCTTTCCCGCTCAACAATTGCCAATGCAATTACTTACTTTACAAGTCCAAGCAAAACCACATTGTAATACTTACAAGCTATCATGGTTAGTGGCAAGTGATGATGAAGGGATTTCAGAATTCTCCTGATGAAATAGAAATTTTTCAGAAGTTTTAAGGGGGAAATGATAGACAAACCAGATAAAAAATTACAGCTCAAGGGCACAGACCATGACTGAAGCAAGCAAAACAGGATTAGAGTCGTGGGATTCTCCAGTGACAAAGGGATGCTGCATTTAGTTGACAAGTGGAGAATATTAATAGTACAGACAGAATATAATGTCCAAATGACAAAGGAAAATGTTAGTCAAACCACAATCACCTTCAGTAGTTCAGATGGTGCAGGCCTCAACTCTGGTTCCCTGAAATTACAAAACTCATACATTGGAGGTTTGAAGAGAAGAAAAGCCAGAAAATATATTCCATGATATTTACTCCAAGAATCAATGAAAAAAAATAACATACTTTTGCAAACATTTCAGGAGAAAATCTTTTAACTCAGTAGAAAGATGCTCTGGAATAGGTGGATGAGATTTTGTTGTCCCTACATAAAAGAGAGCAGCAACCTGAACAAACACATTAGTACAATGATGAAAGAACACCTTATGGAATAAATCTTTAAAATGTCAATAGACTAGGTACCTCCTGGTACTGTTGGCTCCAAGGAGGCTTTCCAGTGGCCATCTCAATTACCGTACAGCCAACACTCCATATATCAGCAGAACTAGAAAATTATATCCATTATATACATATAGTATCAATAAATTCAGTACATCAATATACCATATATAACTATATCACATATCAATCATTATAATCCACAGAGGCCCACTATACATGCTGCAAATATAGCTGATTAATAATTATCAGAATGTGAAGCACATGTAAAGACTAGCAAAAGAAAGCTCTAATATCATTTAAATGCTTCAAGGAATATAGAGTGGGGACTGGGGACCTCAGAGATCCACCATAATCAAATTCACAGAAAGCCAGCCAATTCTAAGCATGTGAAAGAGAACTGGAACACACGTAAACAATAAGACTTTTGTAGTGATCTAGTTTTTCTTACAAACTATGCCCTGTCTGCAAAATGACTTCAGGAGCCATCCAATATGGAGTACCCTTCATAGACTTGGCACCAGAAACAGTAGCCTATAGAAACACCATCTCTATCAGAATGAAGGTGATTTTATAAAGCATTGATCTAGAGAAAAGTACATTCTACAATGGAGAAAATTGTAGATGTGAAGTAAGGTTGACCAGTTGCATAATTACCAGCTCAACGACCTGTTTGGATGCACCAAAATCTGCAAGTTTAATGCTTCCTTTATTATCTACCAGGATGTTTGCCCCCTGCCGATGGATAGATTGAACCAATCACTTATTCATCAGGAAAGAATAAAAGAGAAAGAAATCAAGGACTTTTTTCAATTTATTTAATGACTGGAAAAGAAAAGGCACCTTAATGTCCCTGTGCATAATTCCATTGTTGTGTAAATACTCGAGGCCCAATAATAACTGCTTCGTATATGTTCTTATAACCTGCTAGACAAATTAGTACACAAGCATAGCATTAAAAACAACTGAATTCAAAAACTTCTGTCATCCAAGACTTACAGCTTCAGGGAAGGGTCCAAATTTTCCCAAAAGTGATGATATTGATCCTCCAGGCACAAATTCAAGCAAAATATTTAAAGTTTCCTCCTCCCTCACTGTCCCCAAATATCGCTGAAGATGGAAAGTAATGTCCCAATGAAAAAGGGCAACAGCCTTTATCAATTCAATCAATATAGAAAAAACCAGTCATTACTTACAACAATGTTTGGATGTGAAAGATTTTTCAGAAGCTTCACTTCTTCCTCAAGTTCCCTGACATGAGCCTACTTACATAGCAATAAGCAAATCAAGTTAGGTCATGTTATGGCAAATCCTCATTAAATTAACAACGAGAAGCTAAATTAATACCAATTGTCATAAGTGGAAAATTCATACACCTAGATAAACATACATTTCATTGGCAGCTAACCAATAAGTGAAACTAAATTCAGAATCGCAAGACTTTCTGTTATTCTCTGATTATGGCAGCTTTTACATATGTAAAAGACAGTATTTACTATGAGATAAGATGTTTATTGTTTTATTTGTTAAAAATACAAAAGAATAAGATGTTTATTGTTTTATTTGTTAAAAATACAAAAAGAATTTAGTTCAAACATCAAACCTGTGCTTTTTCCTTAGAAGCACTGTTTGCTGCAATTAGAACCTGAAAAAACAAAAAGCAAAGAAACAAATGAGATCAAATCCATATCCACTAACTTGAGATCTCATCCCACCGCCAAAATCAATGAAGCCAAAATAATGCTCAAAATAAAAACCCCAACTTGAAAACCAACACAAACCCATTTCAAAGTTTCAGTTTTGAACCCACAATTAAACTAAAACCCAATAAAGGAAGCACAAAAAAGAACCCAAAAATCTAAGTAAAAAAAAAAAAAAACCTCTTTGACAGCAAGAAGCTCTCCAGAATCAAGATTCATGCCCATATAAACCCTGCCAAAGGCACCAGAACCAATCAACTCCCCTTTGCGCCATCGGATCGGAGGAGGAGGAGAAGGCGACGGAGAGGAAGGTTTGGAGAAGACCCGTGATTTTCGGATGCAAGAATTTATCTTTTCAACCAAGGAATTGGCTGTAGTTGGCAATGGGGGGCTGTTTTCTTGGCCGCTGTTGTTATTGTCTGGGGTTGTACGGAACACCAGTGAACGGCGAACTGATCCGAAGAGGTCTTGCATTTGGAAACAGTTGAGGAACAGAGACAGTGAAAGAGCGAGATTGGAGTGAGTTAACTCTTCAAAGTTTGATTCTTTTCATATTTTTTTTTTCTTTGGTCGGCAAAAGTAACTGAGAAAAAAATTGGAACTTTGGACTTGGAGAGAGATAGAGAGGAGGGAAAAAGGTGGGGTTGGTTCTCTTTTCAAAAATACCAGTAGTTTTTTATTTTAGAAAATATTAAAAAACTAAAAATCAGATACATAAAACTAGAAATAGGATTTGCCAAAAAAAAAAAAAGAACTTGTATAGTCCTAGGAGGTTTTTCATTTTGTTGAAAATCTTTAATAATAATAATAATACTAATAATAATACTAATAATAATAATAATAATAATAAGATGAATTGGAAGTGGAGGTGGAAAAATAAAAAAAATATAATCATAATATATCACTACTAATATTTGTTCATTTAGAGCAAAAGAGAAAACAAAAATAGTGGAGAACAAATTGTTGATAGACATAGAGATGCTGCTGCCTTAATAATGACAGATGTGTTTGCTCTTCACAATCTTCAAATTTTTTATATTGAAAAAAAATTCTAAAACTTTTTTAAAGCGGGGGAGGGATCTTCTTGTTCCAAACTGTTGAATCTTACATAAATTGTAAAACTAAAACAAGGGAATTTGAAGAGAGAAAAAGGGGACAAATTGACATAATTTTTTATTTTCCCTTCAAGAATTTGGCATCCCTTTCATTGAACAAGATTGTACTGTCTAGGATCTGTTACAGCATTCTTCCAATGTTCATCAGGGAGACTAAGATTCCTAGCAATCTCTCTCCCCTTGTTTATCCTCCACTTCATGTGCTCAGTCAGCCAACAGTATTGCTGCAATTTCTCAGGCATGGCATCATAGAATTGCCACCATTTCTCATGAGCTTTATCACTAGCAAAAACCTGCCCTTCTTTCATGTCCCAGTTACAATCATAATCCCTGTAACACATCCATGGCTTCAACCCCAGATAATGTATTGCATAAACATCATCAGGGATCTTGTCCCGGCGGTAGCTTTCCTTGCCCTCAAAACACTTCAGGAAATTCACCTTGGTAGGCAACCTATGCCACCAAGTAAACACTTCATTGAGAAAGCCTTGATCCCCTCCATTGTGTGAATCCACCCTGAAACTTTTCACCTTCAAGTCTTCAAACATACACAATGATGGCTCAATCACCATGATCCCGGAATTGAACAAAGTTCTATCATTGGAAGCAGCTGATAGTTGAGGATAAACGAATAGCCTATCCAGGTTCCTGAAAACTAGAACATCTGCATCAATGAAAACCACTTTGTCATACCATGTTAGCAACCATATTCTAAGCTTACTATAATTCGATTCATTGAATGAATTTTTCTTGGCAAAGGGGTTTCGGATACGTCCGATTTGCCTTATTTTCCAACCGGCAGTTTTCAACCCTGTTAAGGACTTGGGAGATATTTTTTCATCATGGAGGAGGAGTAAATCCCTATTAGAATTGGATTGGATAATGCTTTGAGCCAAAGCTATTGCACCACAAACATAAGCATCGGTTACATAGGCCTCCCTTGGATTGAATGCGTTCGGCCTTTTATGGTCTGTGGAATAGTATCTCCAATCCTTTTTACCTGTAACATCACCAAATAAAAATGATAATGTTAAAAAAAAAATTGAGATTTGATATTACCAATGAATAATAGGTCAAATGCCACCTTACCAAAAGTTTTACTATACATTAAGTATGTTAATTATATGAATTCTCATTATTAGTTAGGTAGTCAATAATTTACCAAAGGCAAAGATATTAAAGAATATCTATTTTTTTATAAAATTTAAAAACTTTCAACTCAGTGTTTTTTTTCGAATTTTTATAAAAAATATTATAATCTAAGATTAAAACAAGAGTTGTAAGTGTCGAAAATTTAATCTTAAATTTATTATATGAACTAAATTTTTAACTTAATTAAGTATTTTCGATAATATCATTTTGTTTTTTTAAAAATAAATAAGCATCTCTCTTAATTGTACAAATTACTACTAATTTTTTCAGTAATTAATAATAGCCAAAACATAAAGAATTTTGTGTTTTTTTTTTAAAAGAAAAACATAACAAAAAGCAAACTAGAACTAACCTGTTTTACCATGTGGTGGAGCAATTTGGCATGACCCTAGAGGCATGAGCACCTTTTGTTTCAACCTCCTCAACTCCGGCATATACACCCAATGATCCCCTACCTTCCTCAACAGGTCATCACATCTGAATATCTCCGGCATAGGTCCACAACCGCCGACAAAAACAGCGTACACCGCCCTTTTAACATTAGGCGTGACCCAACCACTCCCTACCAAAAGATTAGCCACCACCAAATTAACTTGTAGCCTAAACACATCCCTAAACCCTGCCTTACCTGTCCACCCTTCACATGGTACCCTAGCCACCACGACATGGAGGTCCCGGTAATCCTCCAGCCGTGGCATAGGGATTTCCGGACAAGTCGGCGGCAGGCTAGACTTGTGGTCTTCATCAATCCACTCAGGGAAAAAATCCTCCCATTTTCTTGCCTTAGACACGTTATTAAAACGTACGTGAACAGTACTAACAACTAAACCATGCATGTTGTATTCAATCTCTTCATCATTAAAATTAACTAAACCAACCTTAATCTTCTTCTTACCCTTAATCTCTTCTTGAATCTCTTCTTGAATAAGATCAAACCACCTAGGATATGTGAACACTTGAGGCTCATCGGTCTCGAGTTTAAGTGTATCTACAACATTGTTAGATTTTGGTCCAAAGAATATAACTAGAATTATCAATGGTAGAGAGAGAAGTATTAGGGAGAAAGCGAAGAGTTTTTGGTTGGAATTGAGGGATCTGGAAGCCATTTTTGGGATTTGGATTTAGCTCATTCACGTTCAATGAAGAAGAGAAGAGACTTTGAATGGAAATTATTTATATAAGGAAATAAACGTGGAAAAGGGTTGGTAGGGCTTTGGTATATGTATGTCTATGGTTGCACGCATGCACGTGGAATTGACATTTTTAGCTGTTTTGGAAAATTATGGTTTAAAATTCGTGGTGAAGAAAATATTATTTTAAAAAAATTCTCATATATATATATTTATTTATTTATTTATCGAACTCTTTCGTAACTTAAATTATTGATGCATATATATAAAACAATTACAAATAATACAAGTTTGATTATAGTAAAATTGGTAATTGCAATTATAGTTTATGATTCATTTAATGGTATGATAAAAGAAAAAATGAAATTCTAAGTTTACTTCTAATCAATAATCCAATTAAATACGAACGAAAATAATTAGTATACAATAAATAACTGAGAATAAATTAAAGAATCAATCTTAATGCTAGAGTTTTGTTGAATTATAAGCAGTGGTGGATTGCACCAGATTGATGTATTCTCAATGAAATGGCAATCCATCTCAATATGTAAACCTGTTCTTTTATGAAAAGACTATATTGGAGGAAATGTGAATTGTTGGCTTTTTTTTTTTTTTACCAAAGATAGGCATAACCCATGAGAAAGGAACTACAGTTCTGATTCGAAACCAAAATTTTTATGTCCCCTTAAGAACTCTTTAATCACATTGTTGTCTTGTTCAGTTTGGATATTGAAGTTCATGTCACGACTGAGGTCTTCAAGAAGTATTGATTGAAGATAGAAAGAGAAGGTGATATAGACCATCAAACTGATCATGAGGTTGGCCGAAGAAACAATAAAACCAAAAGACGACCCTGAATCGCCAGTCGGCTGTCACAGAGACGGAGCCTTATAAAAGTTATAGCAACTTTGTTCACCTTCCAAAATCAAAGACCCAAACTTCAAAACTTGAAATCCCTCTCCTTCAGCATTGTTCAATCCTACCCTAAAAGTTTTTAAGAAAAGAAAAAACCTCAAATTCGAGATGATGTGTAAGAAAATCCAAACTATAGAAGAGGGGGAACTAGAAATGCCACACCTTTGCCGGTAGTCTATTTTAGTTCAGCAACATGTACACAGCAATGAGCATTGCAACAAAATGGTTAAAAATCTGTAGCAAAATTTTTTATTGTACTCTTTCTTAATGTTCATACTCTTGCACCCCTAAAATGACAGTAGAATTTTGCATATCTTTTTCTACAGATAAGGGTTTTCAGTATGACCCTGAAAAGTGGGCCAACGAAATTTGAAAATTCATGGCACAGCTGTGTCTAAGAAGATGACATAACCTCATCCCTCAACTGGAGGTACTTTTCCTTGCAGCATATACGCGGTAAGCTGCCAATCCAACAATGGCTACAGCAGCTCCAACTGCAAAAAAGGTGAAACACAGCATCGAAAATTATCACAACCAACATCCAAAAGAATAAAGAGGGAAGTTCCAAAAATGGTGACTCGAAGAGAAAAAAGGAGCAGTGCCATTCAAATCAAAGCAACTTTGAAGCATTATAAGGAGTACCATCTCAGATTGTTTAAAGACAATTGCTGCAAGAAAAAATTTTAAATATATATTTTTGCTTGCATATTAATCCTCCAAGAAAAGAACAGCGTCCCTTAGAATGAACAGTAAGCCCAACTGTCTGAATTTCAGATATAGGCTTAAACAGAATCATAACTAGATCTTGTCAAGGATTAAAGTGCACACATTGTAAGAAAGTAGATAAAGGCAAAGAAAGGCATGTTAGTAATTACCCCTACCCCCAAGACAGAGAGAAAGAGAGAGAAAAACTTAAAAGATGTGCACAGCAACAAGTCATCAGAGAATCTAACCATGGTAAACAACATTTTCAAGAACCAAAAGCTTCAAGTGCATTGAGAATAAAACAGTTGTGGGATGCCAGACCATCAGCATACCAGAAACAAACATGAGAGATCGGTTTATGAGCCGATGGTATTGCTTCCTGCTTCTCCCAGCCTCAGTTTCAGGAATGCTTAAATGAGGATGCTCAGCTGCGTTTACTATCCTTCGGAATATGTTATTGAAATCACTCAATTTTGCACTGATAGGTATAGGCGCTTCTATCCCCATATCCTGGCTAACCTGCAAATGCAAAATTTGCGATAGAATACATTTTCACTGCACTTCTTCAAGATGAAAATTCTAAAGGGCTTGTTCAACAATTATCCTATCACAGTGAGACCAGCAGTGACATGAACACACATGGTACCTCTTCAAGGACTTGAACAAAAAATTTTGCATTTTATGACTACTCTAATACATTCTACTTAGTCTCTTAAATATGAAAGAAAATTAAATTATTAAAAAAAAAAAAATTGAAGCACAATACCCTGGTAGAATCCTGTATTGCCATTGGAAATGAATCCAGATCATCTTTAGCAGCAACAATGAGGCAAGGCACCTCATAACCAGTATCTTCACCATGACCAGCAACATCCACAAGCAATTCAGTTGCTCTCTTCCATGAAGACTCATCAGAACTGCAAAGGCCAGACAATCATGGCATAGCACTTAAAAAAGAAAAAAATAACATACACATACGCATCTAAATGAATTTTTACAAAATTCAATCATGGAACAAACAAAATATAATTATCTTGATTTGCCACAAAAAACAGTGCATTCCAAGCTCATGAGAGAACAACCTTTTCCACAAATATGATCATATAACTGAAGATATTTAACTAATACTAGAGATACCTCTAAGAAGGCGTTTGGTTCACAAAATCTTAGATTTTGGGAGGGAAAGTGATCCCCAAGAAAGTGTGAATTCCTAGCAAGAGGTGGTTTTTCATGGCATAGGATTGTCAGATTTATGTGTTTGGTTGCAAGGAAAGTCAGATTACTTAACCATGTATTTTTACTATAATGTCCTTCATTACATAATAAACACAACAATGTCAAAAAAAAAAAATCAACAATTAATGCATTCCAAATCTTAAAAACGCAATATTCGAGTGGCCAATTATTAAAAAAAAAAGTAATCAATTATTGTATTAGAGAAATGCAGGAAATAATCCACAATTACTGTGTTTCAAAGCTTAAAAATGCAGTATCCAAGTGGGACATGAAAAAATTTTCAAAATCAATTACTACATTTCCACTCAAAGAAACACGGAAAATACGATAATTACTGCGTTTCAAAGCCTCAAAATACAGTGTTAGACTACTCATTTTAAAAAACATACAATGAACAATTATTGCGTTTAGCTTCAAAGAAATGCAGTAATTATCATACCCATAATAAATGCTCATTAAATCAAAAGCCATTGAAAATAAGATGAAAAAAAATTAAATACTAAATACTGCGTTTCTTAATTGCCATAGCCATAATAAATGCACATTAAATCAAAAGCCATCAAGTCAAACAGAGGGAAAAAAAAGATGCGAGTTGTCAAATACTAAAACGCAATATATAATCACAATTACTACATTTCAAAGCCTACAAATGCAACATTCAAGTGGGAAAAAAAATATATATATATATATATAAGAGTACTCAATTAAAAAAAAATTTCCAAAACAAAAGCAATCCACAATTACTTGATTTTCATACGTTGATTTTCTTGGGGGTAAAATAGAAAGAAAAATTTTTTTATTCAGGTCAAATGTGGGACAAAAATAACTTTCCTTCCAAAATCTTAAAAAACCACAAGGAGAAGTGGGTTTTTGATTCCGAGATTTTTGGGTAATGTTGGGAATCTAAGATTACCCCTAGAAATTAAATATCGTGAACCAAACGTGGGAATCACATTCCAACAAACAAGATTCTGGAGAACAATCTCAGATTCCTCTGAACCAAACACCTCTTAAATTTAAAATCCTACTTCGAAATAATCATGCCCTTGATTTACCTGTCATGAACAAATACTGCTATGTCGCAGGTGGCCAATGACTCTTTACTAGCTAGCAATTTTGCAACTCCATCTTCAGGGATTTCTCGCAAGACTAGAGTTTTCTTTATTCCCTAAGAATGAAAAAAAAAATCACAAGAGTAGAAATATCAACACATCAAAGCAACAACCAAGTTAACCGACACTCCAAATGCTCAGAAGGATATGCCAATGAAATGATTAGTTTTTATGTGCACGGCAAGGAGTATGTGGATTTTGACAGTTTTTCATCTCAAAGAAAGTCCAATCTACCATTTCACCTGAACCTTAAACAACATCTTTCTAGTGTACCCATTACAACACACTTTACAGCTAAACTCTAGAACAGCAAGAAATGCATATACATAAAAGTCCAAGTCACTTCTGCCACAGTCCCCAATAGCCCAAAAGACAAAAGTTTTTTGAGTGGGGCTTGCTTGTAACAAACAATTGCAAGAAATGGTGCATAATTTAATGGCACTTACCCCAGGTAGTTCCACAACATTCACAGCATATTGCTCATCAGTAGTTGGAGAACATGAATCAATATAGGGCCTACATTAAAATAAATAAAGTTTAAAAAAATTTAGGGAAAAGAGAATTAGCTATCAGGAAAAGAAATTTGAAAGAATACCTGCCAAGAAAAGAATTCAATAATGCAGATTTCCCAGCATTCACTGGACCGAAAACAAAGCACTGGAAAACATTTCTTTCTGATTGTTTCTTCTTTCGATCTAGATGCCTTCTCCTAGTCACGCTGATGGCAGAGGAAGGATCTCCATGATATCCAATGTATATCAAATTCTCCAAGCTACGAGCTGGATCCAGGAGTGTCATAAGGGCCCACTGCAGTACACAACACAACTCATTAAACTATGAGCACAGGCTGATCTATGATAGAAAATTTTGCGGTAATGATCATTGATCAATCCAGATAGCCCATCCACACACATGCAATAAAAAGTGCACTACTACATTTTCATAAGCAGCCATAAATGCTTACGAAGGTGCTATTCATTATTCCCATGATGCATTAATGGTTGAACTAGAAAACCCCAAACAAGATCAAGTTGAGGTTTTCATATATTAATGTATGATATTCCCTTTTTCAAGAGAAAGAGAAAACCACGAGTACCTCTGACAAAAATGCATCAAGTGATAGCCCTCCCAGTGCAGTTTTTTCCACAGCATGCTTATATGGAGCATCATTCCAAGGACTGAAATTAAACAGAAAAATGTCAAGCATTACTGCAACGATGTCCCATTGACAATTTATAATAATAGAGATCATCTATAAGTGCAAAACTCATAGTTGCATGTATCTCATTACAACAGTTTTTTGAAAATAAAATCGCCTCATTTTCAGTACACAATTTTTTACTAGCCTTTTTAGTCAGCAGCAGCCAGTTATCCTGCTTTTTTTTGGGACAACAAATTAGTATACTCCCCACCCACCCCACCCCCTCTCAGACAAAAGAAAGAAAAGGGAAAAAGTTGAGACAAAAAAGACACCATAGTGCTTAAATTTGCTTTCTCAAGAGTGTGCAGGTTGCAATTTAGCAACAGAAATTGCACAAATATATTTCAAATAGGGAACCATGATACCTTTCTGGAGCAGTTGAAAAAACATCCTCAACTTCAATAGGCCGAAGGTTATTGTCCTGAAAAGAACAATATTCCAAATGATAGAACTTCAAAAACTTTAAGAACAAGTTAGGAATATTAAATATTTGTAGACTGAACATTGACAAAGGCAAGGAAAATCAAATTAAAATATATGTGGGAAAGACTAAGACATACTAAGTCACCGTCAAACAATTCATAGACTCCCTTCAAGAATTCAATAGCTTCATTCGTCAGCTCCACACTCTACACCAATGACAACAGAGCAGAGCAAAGAGTCATAAGGAAAAGTATAAATAACATCACAGTAGAGCATCATGATGAAAACATAGTATATTATGCCAATTTGAAACAGTAGAATTCATTCTTGATCTAATATCAGCCAATTTAGGCACTGCTCATCTTAAACCACAGCTAGACATTCCATTGGCAATCGAATATAAAATTAATAAGAATAGTCGTATCCAAACCCAGTGCTTATAAAAAATTCACTCTGTAGCAGACAGAATATTACCATTTCTTACTAATGCTCATATGGACAAGATTGTAAGCAAACAATGATGGTCAGACAATGGTAGTCGAAAATGAATACCAAAGGACTGACAGCTTTAAATGCTTATTTCAGTGTTTTCTTAAAAAAGAGAATGTTTATTTAAAGGAAGAATTACCTGATCAGGAGCTCGTTTAAATGAAGAATATGGGATTAGATCATCTGAAAGTTTGATATCATTGTTATATCCAAACTTCCTCAGGACAGTCCATGTTGTCTCAAGGCGTCCTTTTTCTATGAATAGTGCATGAAGAAATAGAAAACCAGTCAACGTAAGACCACGTTCATTGACTCCTTCAACCAGCTTATCTTGCACAACCCGTTTCACACCGACTATTTCCGAAGGTTGTAATGGAGCATTGAAACACTTGACCTGTTTTGCAACAAATTATTAGATTCTTCTAGATGTTCAAGCACAAGATATCTTAAGTTAACATTGACAAAAAGTTTGTTTCAAGTTAAAAAAGATCAGCATTCAATACATCAAGCAGTGAATATGACAATCCTTATTCAAGAAACAGTCAACCTATCTCCCTACCTCATCCCAACCACCTCAGAAGTAAAAGACAATAATAAATCAAGGAACAAATGAGGAACCTGAAAATCATTCAATTCTGCATCACTAAGAGCACCATCCCTGTCATGATCACAAAGAATAAAAATTCGCTTCAAGGCTCTCACACAACGTGGCTTCAGAGTTTGTGATTCCTGATCAAATAGTGGGCCTGTTGGATGAAGCACTGCCTTTTGTGCATAGTAGAAAACCTCAGGGATCTGAGAAAAGAAGATACTTTAAAAGTTCAATTCCTGATAGCATCACTGTGTTCTACAAATATCAATTAGTGTCATGTCACTAACTATAACGATGCCAATTGTCACATAAGTGCAAATAATATCTGAACACATTCAAGAAAAAAAAAAAAAAGGAATCGATGCTAAAAGCAATCTACATTTTATTAGCATGATTATAACATCTACATTTCATATTAACCTCAAAAACAAACCAAAGAGGGTTTTACCTGAATGTGTTTATATGCTGAACACTCAATACAAGTTTCAATCTCCCGAAACTGTTGCATTATAGGTGACATCACCTGTTCCAAGCTCACTTGCTGCTGGTCATCTCTTAAATCCAGCTTACAGCCTACTACTATGACAGGTACTTTCACCTGCTCAACAAAAATTTACCTCAGTTTCTGCAAAAGTAGATTCATGAAGGAAAAAATATTCCACATGATCTACAAGGTGAATTAAGCAAAGGTAATGGTCTATATTCAAGTAAGGTGAAATCTTAAGTGAGCCCATTCGCAGCCGAAAGCAGATTCAAGTTGCTTAGACACAGGTTCAAATGCTGGAAAATTGAAAGTTTAACAACATCAGATATGATATTTTGTGAGTTTTTCCTTATATTTAATAAAGTCACTTTCCTCATATCCAAGTCAATCTTGTAGTGTATGATACGAGTCCAACACAGGCACATGAAGTAGAATTAAAAGTAGGAAGAACATAGTAAAAAATTGTTTAACAAGTTAACTTCCCCTTAGCATGCTTTCCATCAAAAGAACAAATACCAAAAATACATCAGTGCAAATTCGAGCTAAGATAGAAACCTCTAATTGGCGAAGTTCTGGAAGCCAGAAAGTACTCAATCTGTTAAGAGTTTCAGGCTGATCACAAGCATAAGTAAGCACAACAGCATCAGCTCGCTTCAGCTCTTCTGCTAGTTTACCTCTATCCTCCGGACTAACAAATCCGCACAAAATAAATAAATCAAAACTTAGGTCAAAAACACACCAAGAATCAAAACAAACAAGAAATTATCTTATTACATTCTGCTTCTTTATTGCGTTAAACTAAATCTAAGGCTCTAAGTTAAGCCGCAGCAAAAGCTAAGGCTCTAAGCTAAGCCGCAGCTAAAACTATTGCGAATTTATCTCTTACTAGAAATTCATTTAAAAAAGTTACAATTACGGCTCCAAATAACAATAGAAATTGCGTCAAATATATTCGAAAATAAATGAAATTATGTAGTAAAGAGACTAACGAATAGAAATTATACTTGGAGGAGGTGTCGATGATGGTGATTGGGACACGGTCGGGGTAGAAATCTTCGGGCAACCGAGTAGGCGGTAACAAGCGGGGCACATTCGTCGGGAAAGTGTCGGCGGCGGCTGTTACAATCAAGCTCGACTTTCCAGTGCCTCGGTCTCCGGCCACCACGATTCGAACCACGGTCTTCCCTTCCGGATTCGACGATTTAGCCATTCGAAAATTAAAAACTACAAAAAGAAGTTTAAATAAATAATCAAATAAATGAACCCTAATTTATCGGAGATTTTAAAAAAGTTTACTGGAAATAGCTAAGATGCAGTGTCAATAACGTAAAAAAAAATGGTGAGAAACAAGAAAAGGAGAGGCATGAAAGGTAAATAACCTGATTGTTGAGGTTAATAAAAGAGAGAGGCTTTATCTTCGTAGCGGAAAGCGGCCGCCGAAAACCTAGGAAGGGACGGCGCAGGCGGCGGGTTCGGTGGCGGCACTCTCTTTAAGAAAGTTTAAGAAGTTTCCCGGACTAAAAAATTGTTTGTATATATTTTTTTAATTTGTTTGGAATTGAGAGCGCCGTTTTTTGTTGGAACGATGGTGGCCGTTAACTCTAAGATGGCTACTGGACGGGTAAGATTTGATTTAGAACATAATTAAACAAAAAAATCAATTTTCATCTAGTATTTTTTTTTAAATAAATCCCACAGTGCTAAATTACTTTATTTTTGTGTGTTATTGGAAATTTTAAATTAGTAAATTTTTTCGCTACATATTTTCAAATCAATTTTATTTTTTTATGTTACTTTTCTAATAAATTTTTTAAATAAATAAAAAAACAATGTAGGATATTTTATACTCTTGAAAAAATCAATAAAATTATATTAAATAAAATTTTGTAGAATATCATGAATTTATTAATTGGGGAAATATTTAAAGACATGTGTATGTTGTTGAGTAAATTTTATAATTATTTATAAAATTTTATAATTATTTATAAAATTTTATAATTATATAGCTTGAACATGAAACTCAAGCTTATGAAAAAGTGTCAAACAATCCAATAAAATCTAATTGTTTTTATTTCTATAAGATTTCATTTTATTTTGATTTGCAATTTGCAATTTGTATATTATCAAATTAGCAATTTTGGTTTTCCATGTGAAATTTAAATCAAAATAATTTAATGTCAATAACTTACCATATCACAAAAATATATATTAATCATCCATCCATCTATGATATCGACAAAGATTATCAGATTATACAAATTAAACACATATAAATATATACAATTAATTAAAATAATAAAATTATATGTAATATTTTAACTTAAATCGAATGATAAATAAATATTTTTATTACATTATCACATCGTTTTAAGATTAAATAATTGATCATTTAAATAAAATATTAAATTTTAATTTAATTTATTTTTCATATCTTAGATTTTAGATGTTTAATATCTTAATCATGATGTTCACATTTTTTTTTTCATATATTTTGTAGTTAGATGGAAAAAAGGAAATTGGCAAAAAAAAAAAAAAAAAAACTACTTAGGCATCACAATGTATAAATTATGGAAAGAAATGCTACATGACAAAGAGGGTGGATGTTGGGTGATTTCATACTATGTTAAGCTTTTTTTCCTTCTAAGAAACTTCCGTTGGGTTAACCAAAAAAATGGATTGATAGCCCCTTTCTTGAACAATCAAATTTGTATTAGAAGACTGGGGACCATTTTGAACTATGTGAAAAGTTTGACTGCCACTTTCTCACTAAATAATCCATTTTGGCTCCTTCAAGTTTTTCAACTTTGAAGCTTCTTGTTTTCAAATTTCATAAACTCACATTTATTAGATTAATAATTTTAATAACTTGATTTTTGGGATTGGGTTTTGTTTTATTTTTCCTTGAATTTAGGAGAATAACATCTTTCTTGTTATTAAAAAGACTAATGGAATCTTCGAACTTAATTAGTTTAAAAAATTAAAAATTAAACATTTTTTAAAATGAAGTGAATTTTTTAATTTTTTATATATTAATGTGTTTTAGGTTTCGATTAACATTGTGTTAGATTTCAAAATGCAATTTTTGATCAAAAAATAATGTTAAATACATTATAATTTGAGCCAAAAATATTTTTTAACTGTTAAAAGTAAACCAATCATAAAAATTAATTAAAAGATGATAGTTATTTGGAATTTATGATTTGAAAATAAAATGATTAAATATTTATTTTTGACAAAAATAATATATATTTTCCTTACCAACGTAATTTTATTTTTAATTATTTTAAAATTTTACTAAAAGTGTTTCAAATTACATAAGATTAATCATTATTCCACCAAATTAGAGAGGCTGTTGCAAGTGTACTCAGGATTAAAAATAAAAAATAAAAAATCAATTTAAAATCATATCAATTAAATATATTATGTATTAATTAAAATAATAAAATAAAATAGAATAAAAATCAGTTATTAAAATGCATTAAAAAAAAAAAAAAAAAGGGAAAGAAACACGCTCACGTGACGGCTGACTTGGGCGAGAGTTATTGTTACTACCACTCACCAATAAACTCACGTGATATGTTAAAAACCAAACAACCGACGCTAAGCGTCGTCGTTAAAATGGACGGAGAAATCCCACGTTTTTTCAAATCCCAATGAAAAACGCCAACGCATCTCCATCATCCTCGCTCGCCGTTTTCCTTTTCCATTTCTTCTTTCTATATAAAAGCCAGCTCAAATGATTTCGTAGATTCAATTTCCAAAGGTCCCAAAGACCAATCAAAGAGAAAAAATAAAGAAGAATTTTGAAGATGGGTGTTGATTTAGAGTCTTTATCGGAGGCAACTTCGGGTGCTATAGGGTCACTGTTAAGCACCACGATTTTGTACCCTCTTGATACCTGCAAAACCAAGTATCAAGCCGAGGTTCAAGCCCACGGTCAACGAAAATACAGGTCACCCAATTCTTATTTTCGAGTTCTTTTTTTTAATGTTTTTAATTCTGGTTTTTTTTTTATTTTTTTATTTTGTTGTGATCATGATCCAGGAACTTATAAATTTCTTTTCTTTGTTTTTTGGTGTGTGAATTTATGTTGAATTAATCCCTTTGTTGATATGGCTTCAGTTTTATTCTATGCTGTGTTGATTGATACATGAAAGTGAAAACTTGCTATTGATAATATGGGTGTGATTTGCTTATTGTTAAAATGAATATGATCCTAGCATGATGAGGTATGTTAATTGAATTGGATCATATGATGTTAATTTCATTGTACCCTTACCGTTTTTCTGGTCATATACTTGTCTTCCATTTTTCTTAGTTATTCGTGTGAAAATTGGCGTGGTGGGTCTCAGATGATGACCTGCAAGGCAATAGACAGAGAATTTGGAGTTGATTCTGGCCTAACTCTTTGGACAAGCAATTCAGCGACGAGTGAGAAAGGAAATAGTAGAGTAAATGATGAGTTGCCATAATTCCCTTTAGTATAATTACCTGCACTAAGTCATCTGAGGTTATTTGGGACGATTGTCTGTTGCTACAAGTTACTATGATTTTCAACAGTTTTCCATTTTATAGGTTTAGATTGTTATAACTTGAACAATGCAGAGTTGCAGATACTAGATTTTCTTCCCTTCTACATTTGCCATTTGTGTTATGTTTTCCCTTTTCAATCATATGGTTGAAAAATGATACTGTTTAGTCCTATTTTTATATTTTATTGTTGTAGTGCTACTTGATATCAATGAATGTTCCTTGCACATGTGTGCCGTACTGCTAGGCCTGTTGGCAAGGCAGGAAGTTCTTTGGATTGAGCTTGTCAGTTTCTGATCTCAATTTCATATCTTATGCAGGAACCTTTCAGATGTATTATGGGAAGCAATATCTACAGGCCAAGTTCCTTCCTTGTACCAGGGCCTAGGCACAAAAAACCTGCAGTCATTCATTGCACAATTTGTCTATTTTTATGGATATAGCTACTTCAAAAGACTGTATCTAGAAAAGAGTGGTTCCAAGTCAATTGGAACAAAAGCAAACTTGATTCTTGCTGCTGCTGCGGGGGCTTGTACTGCTATTGTCACTCAGGTGAGACATCATTTGGCAAGTCTCTTATGTTTTTGTTTTGAATATATAAATGCTTTGATCCATCCAAGCAGTAGTTGTATCTGTTGATTGCATAGTATATCAAGATCAAACTGTACGATGTTTTCAAAAAATATGGAATTCTCACCTTCCGTGTTCAATTGGGAGACTACCATCTATGATTTCTACTCTTGTTTGGAAGCATTCCATGTGGTCGAAAAATATGGAATCCTTTCTTTCCCTGTGGTTGCTGCAAAGACAGGTTAACTAGGAAAGCAAAACTGTGCTATTTTTTAACTATATCTTTAAAATGTTGGAATGAATAGAAATGAAACTTTTTATGCCATTGAAATTTGAATGCAAGTCTTTGGTGTTCGGATTATAGACCTTGATGTTGTATTTTTGAGCAATCAAAGGGTATAACTTATCTGTGATTATGAGTGATAGTTCCCTCTAATACTTTGATTATGAGTGGCAGTTCAAACAAATACTCCTTCGTTCATGTACATGGAGATAGGTGACAGAAATATGAATTTGTAGAGTATTACAATAGTATTGTTTTCTGAACAGATAGGCAGGAAAGATACTGATGTTGTTGCTATTACAGTTTCAAGTATCTTTTTTTATTACTTATAATTTTGTGTAACACAAGAGCATGTATGATGTAATTTTGGAGTTTGATGTTAAATACCTGGTTTATCACTTTGTAGCCTCTGGATATGGCCTCCTCAAGGATGCAGACAAGTGCCTTTGGAAAATCGAAAGGGCTCTGGAAGACCCTCACAGAAGGCACCTTGAGTGATGCATTTGATGGCCTTGGCATCTCTCTTTTGCTGACCTCAAATCCTGCAATTCAGGTTCTACACCTTGCTTTATAATTTAAAAGAATAGACTGTCTTGTATCACACCTTCATCTTCAAATCTTAATTTTTAAGTTACCTTGATCATGACTAAGGCTAGAAATATGTTAAACTGTAGTATACAGTTTTTGATCAGCTGAAACAACGACTACTTAAGAAAAAACTGAAGGAAGCAGACCATGGCTCATCCCCAGTAGTTCTGTCTGCATTCACAGCTTTCTTGTTAGGTGCAATATCAAAGAGTGTTGCAACTTTTTTGACTTATCCAGCTATCAGGTGCATAGCCGCTCTCCCAAATTGTACATTATAAATGCATGCTGTGTAGTGGACTATATGGAAGTAATGTGTGTGCCAACTCAATGCAGGTGTAAGGTAATGATCCAAGCTGCAGATCCAGATGATGATGATGATAGAACTAAGAGAGCTCGACCAAAATCCTGCAAAACAGTGTCAGGAGTTGTCTGTGCTATATGGAGAAGGGAAGGAGTCCTGGGCTTTTTCAAGGGATTAGATGCCCAGATCACAAAGACTGTATTAAGCTCTGCTTTGCTTCTGATGATCAAAGAGAAAATTACAGCCACCACATGGGTTCTTATACTTGCTATCCGAAGGTATCTATTGCTTACAAGGGGCAGACTGAAAAACGTGTGACAAGAATAATAATATCAGCTATTATTTGGAGATAAGTGAATAATCATCTGGCTTCATTACAAACCATTTGTGATTTATAGAGCAAGGTTCCAATTCTTTGAAGCATAGCTGCAGCAAAATAGATGCTCTTCTATCCCTTGTTGCTTCATCCTCCAAATAATTTTGTATGTTGGAATGCAATGCAATGACAGTCACAGTGATGCTTGTATAACATTTTCTGTTGGAATTATATTGAAGTATTATCATCTGTCAATGTTCTTCTGGTTAAACATTATCGCTTGAACCTGAGAAATGGTTGTTTATAGTCTTCCATCACAGCTTATGCTGCTCAGAGCCATTGTTTCGTGCATTATTTCTATATTCTGGGAGGAACGGTAAACAGGGTAGGGTAAATGGGGATTTTTATTGTTCATCAACCCACAAAAATTTTTAAAAAAATTTCCTCACCTATCTAAAATAATTTGAACTTTGTTTCATACTAGATTCTAGAATTAGCTTTCAAATTTTTTTTTTTACTTAAAACTATTAAATTTTGAATTTTAATAATTGAAATTAATAATTCATCGTTCGACTAATATGACCTTTTAATTTTTTATCAGAGTCATCTTTAATTCAAATTAAATTAATTATAGATAAATTAATTTCATGTATGTAAACATTTTACTCCTTAAATTAATATATAATTATTTACATTCAAAAATCTATTTTTTGGGATAAGGGAGTAAAATAATCGGTAAAAATCGTTATTAAGTAAAGGGTGCTTCTACGTGCATTTCATTTTTTCTCTTTACATCTATTTTTTTAATTATTTTTAGATAATATTATTTAATTATTTTTTATTTCAATTTTAAAATTTTTTATATGTATGTCTAGTAAATTAATTTTATAACTTATCTCATATGCATATTCGATAAGTTATGATTAGAGTTTAAAAAAAAATCAGTTAAAAAAAAAATCTCATATCCTAAAACGTGATTTATTTTAAACAATTATAAATTATTTACAAATTAATAAAAAAACTATATATTTTTTTAGATTTTTTCTTGATTTAAACTATATATGGGACAAAAACTTTAAAACATCCGGACATGTTACAAATCCAAAAACTTAGAAGTAGGAAGAAATTTGAAAAAAGAAATAATTTCATTTAAAGATAATTTATATATATATATATATCTATATAAATATATATATATATATATAAAGATATTTAAACCCTTAAGTAAACTCTAAATATCATAGGAGATATTGAAAACTCGTTCAAACCTATTATTAAAATAATAATTTACATTCAAAAGTGTGTTTTAATGCAAAAAAAATAATAATATTAAATATGATATGATGACACGATATAAATACATACAAATATAAAATATGAAAATGATAAGGTTTAAAATTTTAGTAATAATTATATTTACATTTAATAAAATTAAAAATATATTTTTTATTTTTTATATAGATATAAATTATGACATATAATTTTTATATAAAATATAATATAAATTTTAATATTTTAATATTTTATGCTACACAAATACAAGAAATCCTTAAGTCTAAATTAAATTGCGATTTAGTAGAGGGAACATTTCCACTTGATTTTCGGTTCTATCAATATATTTTTGTATAAGAATTAAAGCCCAGCCCAGGCCGGTCCACAAACCGAACCAGAAATAAATATTGTGTTTGGTAAGGCCATGCATATTCCTTGGGCCATCTCTGGTGTTTTCAACATCTCAAAATAAGTTAAGCAAAACAATGACAAAATATCAGTAAAAGCATAAAAAAAAAAAAAAAAATCAGCAAATGCATCAGAATATCGTCATTCTTTGACTTTTGAGAGAGCTAACACAATTATCCTTAACCATTGGCTTATTGTGTTAATGTGGATATGTGTTTGTACTTTCTGAAATTTCAATGTTGTAGATTCTTGCTCCAAAGGCTGGCATACATTTTCTAACTAGATTAGATTCCTAGGTTTGAATTTAATCTTACATTTAGGACCCTGCAAGGAAAAAGACCTCATAACTTGTCTAGATTCTAGGACAAATATTATAGTCGCACTTTGCAAGAAAGGTAATACATGGGGTATTTATCAAAGGCCTGTCCAAAATTTCAAGCTTTCCAAACTACATTGCTTTCTTCAGCGTTTTCATTAGTTTCTGGGGAATATCTTTGTACCCAGCAGCTAGAATTATGGATATGGCGTGGCACTAGAGAAATTCATGCTATTAGCCAGCAGCTGCATGATTGTTGATAGAGTGTTAAACTTTTAATTTTAATAATCAGAATTTAAATCCTGACAATCTCAAAATAAAAATAAAAATAAAATTCATACAATTCTATTTTTAAGTTTTGGCAATGGTTTACAGCTTGTAACAAAGTTAATTAATCGGAAAAAGGTGAAGGTTAACAATATTGTTAATGCAGTTTAGCTTAATGACCATTACCCTTGCATTGGAGAGAGAAGGCAGGGTTCGAGCCCGGCTTAACCAGTTAGCCTTTTTCAATTAGACCAAAATGAAAAGGGGAAAAAGTTAGCCTTTATTTGTATCCAGAGAAGGGACCTCAGTCCTGGCCTGACTATCAACTAAGAATGCCTTTCAAATACTGACTCATGGAGTAGTATAATCTGTCATCCTGTGATAAGAGTTATAATTTTGACTGTAAGCAATCCAACAATATTCTAAATTATGAATTGCAGCAGCAAAACATACTGCCATTCAGGCTACACAGAAATGAGCAGGTTACAAAAAGCTTTTTACATTTCAATCATCGATGCTGCAGTACAATATGAGAAAAGAAAGACGCTGATGACTCTTATCTCTAGATGTGTGGGGTGCTTATTTTGATTCACCCGGTTCGGAAATGAATAATAGAATACAACTGAATCACAAAAAGCAAGAGGACGTTTCTACATCAAGTTGCTATATTACAGCTCTCTTAAAAAGAATGACAACCAATGAAGTAAACAATTGAATCCTTCCGTCAGATCGGATCTGGAAAACTCAAGTTCGCATTTTTATTTCCGGAGTGAAATTCCTGGACTTGGGCAACTCTGATTACAGTCAAGAAGCCTCATCCCGGACAGCAAAATTATTCAGCATGATCTCTGCCGCAAAACTTTTGGGAAATACACCTTTATTTTTCCATGGCATCTTCATTTTCTAACATGTATGTGGGGCAAATTTGGTGGATCACGACTTATTAAATTTGCCCACAAGTTGACAATGGTTAGAAAGTAATGCTGTCCATCCCAAACCACCATTTTCATGCCTGATTCAAGAGAATCAAGATAATGTTAGAGACTTATGTGAGTGCACCTTAAAAAGGTCAGATTCAGAATGTGATTGCAGAATTTACAAATTATTTTGCTCGGTTATATCCCCAGGTAAAACACAATCTTCTGGAATCAGTTATCACACTTTAGCTGTTAACTAAGTATGGCTATCATTTTGGTAAATCAGTATAATCTTTTAAGAAGGAAATTAATGTGTTTATAAGATCATGCTACAAAAAAAGTATCTACCGTATATTAGCTCTAAAAGAAACTTAAAAGCAAAGAACATAGATGATGTTTTTACAAGTTCAAAGATTATGGAACTTAGGTTCCAATATGTTATGGAGTATCAGGGTTATCTGAGAGGGTGATGTGTATCACCCATAAAACTACACTCTTAAAGACCCTATAGAGCAAGCAACTTTCATGACCTACCTACACCTTAAAGATGACAACATGAAATAACTTCTCTTTCTCTCTCTCTCTCTCTCTCCCTTTTCTTCTTTGTCCAAGATAAAGATATTACACCTAACATCCTCTAGGCTAAAAAACCAATATCTTCGTACCTGGCATTGTTCCTGCACTTACTCCTGATAGGTAGCACGTAGGTTCTTGTCCGGAGAAGACTTTTTTATAGAGTTCATGTGCATCAAAATCATCAGTACTCTGGATGGAACCAAGTAAAGCTTCAACATCATATTTTAAATCAGTAGGATCAGACAGACTTTGAAGGGCTTCGTCAAGTCCAGAACTTGACCACAAAGTAGAACACTCCCTCACAAGAGCAAAGAAGCTAGTGGGATATTCAGAACTAAACAATATCCAAGGCTTGTAGAGTTTGGTGGACAAAGATCCAACAATCTTCACAACTCTGAAAATTTCTCCAAGTGCAAGAATGTACTTTCTGCCTGTAAATGCGCAAAATATTATATTAACACTGTGAAGTTAAAACAACAAAGACTATATAAGATTTTATATGCTCGACTTTCAGGTGAAGCACCTTGAGGTTTAAATAGTAATTGATTGTGGATGTTTTTCTGTAATGATTGCTTCCAAATCGAAGCACCATGTTTCAGCTCTAGTGCACAAACAGACAAAATCCTTGACCATAAGGATACATAATTAGATTGATCCTCAACAGACCCCAATTTTAGAATCTTTAGTGTTGATACAGCATGTTTCAAGAGTTCAGTTGCCGATCTCAAATCCTTCTCTGCCTATTCAATTGAACATACAAGCCAGTGTCATGTCGTGGTCAAAGCCAGCAATAAGCAAAATAATCATCAATAAAATGGAAACAGAATATCTGAACTCTACCCAGCATTGAATATTCTGAGAGGTTAGTTCAGATATAGCCATTCATATTGAAAATACTAAATTTAAGAATATAAATATATGACAAACAGTGGCATGGAGGGGAAGCTTATGGATATTCAGTAGAGGATATCAGCTACATTCCCACTTAATACCAGCCTGTAAATGTACATCAACTTGATGTTTGACAAAACTAAAGCAACTATGCTTTTACATTTTAAAATGTCTCTCAAGACTTGCATCGAATCAATTTCTTGAAATAAGAACACATATGAATCAAAGCAAAAGACACACACCAGTGATAATTTCTCTGATAAGTGATATTCTGATTCAAGCACTTGAAACTTTTTTTCTTCCAGAACCTTGGCAAGTTCACTTAGGTAAATACTTCTTGACTGGAGATTCTCTGAGGTCATTTCTTTGGATATTGTGCCATCTTTTTGCAGTTCATTGCATACGCCCTACAACCATAAACAACAGACAAGATCAAGTCATTATTTGTCCAATACTCTATTGAACAAACATGAACAACTAGACTCACATCTGAGGATGACACGATTTACTTGAATTTGGGCATGTTTAAATTGCTCAATGTGAGAAAGAATTGCTCAGTAAAATTTTAGAGGCTATTGTAAAACCAATGAAAGACAAAAAAGAAGATTCAATCACAAATCAAAACAATGCTACCAAAAGTTGCTCAGCAACATTTCAAAGGCTAATGTAAAACCAATCAAACATCACTATGCATCCTTTTCAGATAACATGGATAAATATAAGTCATGCAAAGCACTATCAAATCGAAAAAAAAGCTCCAGATCCTAATTAAAAGAGATTCATCTTCCAAATTTATGTTTTTGATATGAAGTAAGCAAGTGCCACAAGTTCAAGCAAAATAACAGAAAGGGGATTTTTGTATGCATTCTCCTGATCATTTTGGGATATATCTTTCAAATACAAAGAGAGTGTACAACTAATAAAAAGGGAAAGGAAAATTGCAAGAATGATCAGAAATAGCTGCCAACCTGGATTTCCTTCTCAATAGCTTTTACTTCAGCATCTTCACCAGAAGGAGCAGCACTACTTCGATCTTTCTAATAAAAAGCATATTTCAGAAACAAAATACTTTAAACATTACTATCAACAAAAAGGAGAAGGGCAAAAAAAAAAATAAAAAAATTTCAAGGACTCTACCAACCTTCATATTGTCAAGATGGCTAAGTGCAACAAAGCACAATTCAGCTGTCAATTTAGAGTAGAAGTCCACATAATCATTTAGCCCCATTTTGGTAGAGTATTCTTCATATGAATCTCCCAAACCAAGTGGAGAGTTCAGGTTTTCTCCTGTGGTTCCAGAAACAGCACCTTTAAATTCCCAGGAATCATCATCTAAATCATCATCACCATTTACTAAATTGGAATCCACCTCTGTCTGGGAGGAAAGAAGTCCTTTTTCACTTGGATTGCTTATGTGATTTAAAGAAGCATTTTTCTCAGCTTGACTATATAAACTTGAAATAAGATCATTGATAGATATATTTGAATGAGTATCCTTCATGTCAACTCTTAGAGAGGGAGGTTTGTGAGTGGAAACATCTTCATATCTCAATGAATCATCAGTTTCAAGTTCTGCATCACCAAAGATGGTTAGAGGTAAGGCTCCCTTGTGTTTCTCCACTGTTTCCTCATTCCCCTGAGCACATTAAAGGGAAGATGAATAGAGATTGAAGAAGAAAATTTTCCAATGAAAGTATGTAACCCTAGTAAACTGCACTTTTCTCTCAATGACAAACAAAATACAATATGTTAGATGAGGAGGCAAATCTCATGCAACAGTCATTTAACGCTTAACATGTAATCAATTTGTAGAAGCTTAGCACAATATACAGGATTAAACAATGCCTCATCAGTTGGAATTTTTATGAATGACATTTTACTGAAGCATTTTGCATACTAAATGAACCAAAACCTGGATATGACTGTCAAATGAATAGTCTTCCAGTCCAGAAGAAGCATCAGCATCCTTTCGCTCTTCCTACATATATATGTATAAAAAAATATTGAAGTTTGATAAGGCAGATTGTTTGAGATAAAAAGAAAGAAACAAGAATGAATATCAAATCAATCAATTCATACCTTAGTCTTCGATTCATTTCCTGAAATTGTGTCCCTAAAAGCCCAGGACATTTTGTCAGGTTCAATATTTTTATCAACTGGCGAAGAAATCACACCATTTTTGGTATCATTCTGTTTGCTTTGAGATCCAAAACTAGGGGAGAAACTAAATCCTAAGTCCCATTCACCAGGATTGTTAGAGATTCCGCCTGATGTGACAAAAAACATACTGGAACCATTCATGCCATTCCCAAATCCAAAGCCGAATTCAGTTCCCTTAGGATTTTCCTGCTCTCTGCCCTGAACCTTCAAAGTAGTAAATAAAATGGAGTCCCTGAACAACTTGTGGATATGTGAAAAAGAATTATATATATATATATATATATAATCAACTTAAAGTACAAAAAGTTTTTATAATTAAAATAAAGCCTCCCTTTAGGTATGCACAAGAGCAAAATGCAAATATATACATCTTACACGATAGAACACCAGTACCAACAAACCATCACCACTAATAAAGAAACAGAACTTTGTGGTTATATTATTGACAAGGATTTTCCACCTATCAAAATAAAAGAAAGTAACTTTTACCTTAGCATTGCCAGTTCCAGAGACTGTCTCTGATTCTGCAGTCTTGAATTCCCATCCACCATTATCACCAAACTCCTCATTTTCGTCAACTAAACTAGAGTTCAACATACTTGCATTTGAGATCACCCCACTGACATTCGAATTCAGCCCATTGGCATTTGTACCCAACGGATCCCAACTCAATATGGGCACATTGAAATTTGACATTGGTTCATTCTGATCAATCTGACAAAACCAAAAAAAGTTCAAAATAATATCAATAAAGCACCCTTTAAAAAGAATTCTTCCAGCTTCTTACTTTCTAGAACTCTCATTTATCTAAACCGGGATTAAGTATGGAAATTTCCATGCAATTCTCAGTTCTTTTCAAACAACAAAACATGAACACTGGAAACGACATTTCCAATCAAAAAAAAAAAAAAAAAACAAAACTTTACCTTCAAATTTTCAGCTTCAGCTTCTGCTTTTGATTCTGCACCTTTAAATTCCCACCCATCATCCTCCTCATCATCAATCAAATCGGAAGTACCCCCATTCAGATCAAATGTCAACCCATTCTGATCCAAACCCGTACTATTTGAGCCCAAATTCCCTTCTTTTCTTTCCATCCCAAATACATCACCATTTGAACCCAAAGTATCCTCTTTTTTATCCAAAGCAGGAGCATTTCCACTCAAATCCAACGCATCCACCTTAAAACCCGACCCGTTTAACCCCAAATTCAATCCGTTCCAATTCCAAGTCTCTACCTTTGGATTCAAATCAACTCCCTTCTTAACATCCAAACCCGACCCAAACCCATTTCCCTCCTTTTCCTTCTCATTTTTCTTATGCAAATCCGCTATCAATTCATTCAAATCCGATCCTTTTCCCTTCAAATTCCCATCTTTTTTAGGAAACGAAAACGAACCTGCCACACCGTTAAACCCTGCGTCCACTGCTCCAGACTCCTCTTCTTTATCTTCTTCCCCAAAAATCGATAACGGTAAAGCTCCGGTCAGCTTGGCCCATCCGTTTTTCGCTGGCTCAGCTCGGATCGGATCCGAGTCGGGCTGAGTTGGAGGGGACGAGTTGGGAAAGGGATCGAAGTGGAAATGATTGACGGGAAGAGATTCACCACCGGAGATAGCATTGTCAGAGTTGATGAAATCTCCCCAATCATCGTCGTCGTTAACGATGGTCTTTGTGGTGGAAAAATCTGGACCGTTGATTGAGTGCGACGATAAGGAAGATATGAATATGAAGTCGCCGAAGCCTTCTTCGTCGTCATATTCCGCCATGGTTTCAAAGGCTTCGAAAAGCTCCCTTTTCTTCCCTGTTTTCGCGCGGTCGATCGGTTGATCAGAAAATCTGAGCTTTTTTTCTAGTGCGTTATTTTGAAGAAGGGGTGCGCAGGTTTAGGGTGTGCGCACCCTTCACAATTAAAAAGGTTTGGCCCATTTCCTCGAAAATTAAAGGGCTTGGACCCACTGCTTGACCTGTCTTAAGGGCCCATTTGTTTAATAGTAAAAATTAGATTAAATAATTCATATATTTTTCATCGTGTCAAATGTATAAAATATAAAAATTATTATATTAAATTTGTATTGATAAAATAAATACGAAATATAATTTTATTTTTATTAAATTTATATAAATTTTATTAAAATTTTAAATCATGCTATTTTTATATTTTTTATATTATTTTTATATTGTATTACATTATAAATATATAAAAGAAGAATCAATTTTAAGAATGCAAACATAAATATGGATATGTTATTATTTTGAAAAATTATACAATAGAGTTTTCATATTTCAGAATTGAAGACAAATAGTAATCTCTTAATACCCATTTAACATGTTTTTATTTGAAAAATTATCACACTAGATTGATACTGACATCACATTAAAATACTAATAATAAGTTGTTATAATGAAAGACATATCTTCATAAAAGTCAGGTCCTCAGTCCGACGTTAAGTCAAGAAGGCGTCAGAGTCTTGAACACTGACTAAAATACTTTAGTTATATGTCTGATCTATGGAATACTTATGGTTGGTATTATCTTGACAAGTTGATCGATCTACACCCTATTAAAATAGTATCAGATAATATTATCAGGACTTTACTATCCGAAAAACTCAAAATTGAAACCTGAAAATTGAAACCGTCAGTTGTCAGAGCTTTGGCCATATGATCGTACTACCTAATGCTGTGCATAAAAATAGTACCATCAAATATCTTTCTCCCGGCTATTACTCTCTTTTTTTAAAAGAAAAAGTTTTATTTATTACATTCTTGAATATTTTGTTTCTTTCAACTCTTGATGCATTGGTTGAATTGATTAGTATACTTTGTTTTCCACCTAATTATCAAGTTTAATTATTGAAACAAATGAAAATTTTAAAAAATAAAAATATTTAAATATGTAAAGAATTTTATGGTTCAAGATTATTATTGAAAATTACATATCACTTTCTAATTAAGCATGATGAACAAAGTTTGAACACAAATGTCATACACAAAGCAAAATACAAAGTCTTCCCACAAATCAAAGTCCACAAGGTATCAAAGAACAACACATAGAAAAGAAGAGAGGAGTTCAAGCAATTTCAGTGCAAAAGACAAAGAACAAAACCCAACAAGAAAAGTAGCATGTAATGATGGCCTAGGCCAACCTTTGCATTAACCAAAGAATAAGCTCCATTCGCAAGGCTCCCTGCTGGGGTGTTGGTGGCAAGGACAACCACCATCCACTCATCTTCCGAATCAAGCCCGATTCCAGTGAAGCTCGAATCGTTTATGAACTTGGAGTAATGAGTGCGTGTGAAGTTGGTAAGAACAAGAGTTGGAACCAGTTTCGGTACGCAAACAGGCAGCACGATTACATCACTTGTGGTGTTGACATCAATGCCGCACTTTGATATTGCCTTTGGATATTCGGATAGTTTAGTCTCGTTGCCTCGTGAAATGCTGGGGTTCGTACATGGCTGGTCGTCGTCTATGTCATCTGCAATTTTCTCTGCTACACAATGTGCATTTTTGTTCTTGTTGAATGCTGGGAGGTTCACCGATGTCCTGTAACTGTTGAGTCCTTGAAGAAGATTGTCTTCCTCATCTGTCAATAGTGGGAAAAAAATGTCAAATTATAGGAAGAAATGTGCAGGCAGATTATACTCATGAATGCCAGATGCTGAAATTCAAATCGAATCCCAGACCTACTAGATGCTACAGTGAGATGAACCAACTGAACTAAACTTCAAAATCAATGATGGCCATCGTCAATATGTTGCAAAATGAAGAGATCAAGTAACATTTGATCATGCATCACTTGACAAAGAAACGTCAGTCCATAATTGCTATCTTCTCAGTTGCCCTATGCATTATCAATTATTGGAATGTGTTGTCAAATAAAAGCCGCTGCTTAAAAAAAGAACGCAATTTTGCACACATAATATGATCTTTTCATCTATCGGTTTGAAGTTTTTATTTTAATTTTCATTTAATCAGATTTTATTAAGGATTTTTACAAATTTTATTTAAAAAATTTCATCCACATGCATGCTTCAAAGTAGACTCAAAACAAGGACTAAAATATCTAGGAACTGATAAATAATGCAGAAAATTTGGTAGATTTATTTGCATGCATTAAATTAAAACTTCTGTGACTGCAGCACTGAAGTCTTGATAATTAATTTCTTATTGTCAAAAATGAAAAAAAAAAATTTAGAATACCAAAAAGGCTTGAAAACATACACATGCAAACCTCAGCATATATATATATATATATATATATATATCTCAGTCTCCTGCAAAGCAAGAGAAGGTAAAGAGATCTAGAGAGTTACCATTACTGTGAACAGGATGAGAAAGCAAGAAAATGGCAAGAACAACCACAAAGAAGAAGTGGGAAGGTTTGAGAGAGGCCATGGCAAGCTTCTAAATTAATCCCAATGTTGCGAGGAAAGCTGAGGAAGGGAAGCAGATAAAGAAAAAGAAAAGGGGTCTCAGCTGGCTGCAAGCTTTTGTATGGAATAAGCTTTATTTGAATTGGATACTTCTTCTCTTCTTCTTCTTCTTTTTTTATGGTTTGCCTTGGATGTCAAGCAGTTTACAGGTGCCACTTTATGGATTCGTTACTCAAGAAGAAAACGTGTGCTATACTGACATGTAAAAGTTGAGGCTTGAGGGGGCTCCACGTGGACTACATGCAAAAGTATTGAGTTTTTTTGAGTTAAAGGCTAGAAGGTTTGAGTAATCCGGCTCAAATTTTTCAAAGACAGTCTACAGGCAAACTTGCAATGAAGGTCAAGAATCCCTTTTTCTCTTATAACCTTATGACCTGTTGAAGAATATGGAGTGAAATGAAAAAAGGCTTAACATGAAATGCCATTGAATCAAATGTTCATTTTATCTGCAATTTTTTCCTTCATACCATAGTGCAACTTGTATTAATAGCTTTGCAAAAGTGAAAAGGCAATTGAGGAAAGAAAAGGGATGGCTGGTTGTGAAATTAAATGTAGAGCCATATCACTGTCCCCTTGCATTAAAAAATAAAATAAAATGACCATATACTATATATTTTCTGATAAAACATAAGTCTGTTTAAAAAAATAAAAATTTTAAAAAATAAAATATTTTTCTTTTTATTTATTTTTCTCATACTAACAGTTGTATCCTGCATTTTACTGATCAAGTGAAGTTTCATCCACAAGAAAAAAAAAAGGGTTAAGTCCATTTGTCATAGTTCAGAAATACAGATCAAAAGAGATCAGTTCACCTGAGTACCTGGTAAGAAATTGCCCTGTTCTCAAGGATCATGCTAGAACATTCTCACTTCACATGGGTCCCCATGTCAACAAAAACGTCCGTTTCCACAGACGTGCCCACTGCAGGCGGATGACATGACACGTGGACACCTTGCTGCCACGTAACCGTAGGTGTCCACCTGGAAACTCATTATATTAGCATTTGCATGAACTTTTCCCATTCACTGCACAGATCAAAATCCTATACTATATAAGTTTTCTCCTCCACTTAGTTCCATCAGAGCCTTTTCTACTGTAGTTTCTTGGTGTCCAAACAAAACCCAACTTAGAGTTGATAGAAATCACTTTCCGAGGAGTCATCAGAGACCTGTTAGATTGTTTGAGATCAGAATGACTTCTAAAGGGCAGCAGCAGTTTCCTCCTCAGAAACAGGATGCGCAGCCTGGAAAAGAACATGTCATGAATCCTATCCCTCAGTTCACCAACCCTGATTACAAGCCTTCTAACAAACTTCAAGTATGGTTTCCGCACAAACCAATGACACATTATATATAAGTTGCCTTCTTTTATTTGTACAATGAGATAGGTCATCAGCTTTTCAATTTTCATTTGCATTGCTACAATAAGAAGCTATCATAAAAATGGCTCCTGGATAGTCTTGTTCCTCATGGAAATACTAAATGCATGCCTGTTTGAATAATTTTTTCCCTTTTGCAGGGGAAGGTGGCTTTAGTTACTGGAGGTGATTCTGGGATTGGCCGAGCCGTTTGCCTCTGCTTTGTCCGAGATGGTGCAACCGTGGCGTTTACCTATGTGAAGTCTCAGGAGGACAAGGATGCAGAGGACACTCTGGAGATGCTGAGAAAGGATAAGACGCCAGATGCAAAGGACCCTATGGCTATATCTGCTGATTTGGGGTTTGATAAGAACTGCAAAAAGGTTGTTGATGAGGTGGTGAACGCATATGGTCGGATTGATATTCTGGTTAACAATGCAGCAGAACAGTACAAGGCAAGCAGTGTGGAGGAGATAGATGAGGAGAGGCTTGAAAGGGTGTTTAGGACTAATATCTTTTCTTACTTCTTCATGGCCGGGTGATGCTTTAAATTTTCTTAAAGAATTAAGGGCAAGACTTGATTGAATACCATGTAAAAAGCTTTACAAAATTAGTAAAACGTGATACAATAACAATGGTAATTGATTTTGTGATGTGATATTTATAGGCATGCTTTGAAGCACATGAAGGAAGGCAGTTCCATAATAAACACAACATCGGTAAATGCATATAAAGGCAATGATAAGCTACTTGATTACACAGCAACCAAGGGTGCCATTGTGGCTTTCACTAGAGCCCTTTCACTACAGCTTGTGAACAAAGGCATACGTGTCAATGGTGTTGCACCTGGGCCCATATGGACTCCATTGATACCAGCATCCTTTGATGAAGAGGAGACTGCCAAGTTCGGATTCAACGTGCCAATGAAAAGAGCTGGCCAGCCTATCGAGGTTGCACCATGCTATGTGTTCCTTGCATGTAACCACTGCTCCTCCTACATAAGCGGCCAAGTCCTCCATCCAAACGGTGGTGTTATAGTGAATGCTTGATATGGCCATATGGGGTTAAGCCAAGCTCTTTGCTTTTAGTGTTTTTTATTATGCTATCAGTAGCGTTTACTACTATTTGCTGTATGTAAGAGTGGTAAGCAGTCTCTATTTCCAAATGTAAGTAGCTTTTGAACTGGCAGCCTCAATGCTAAGAGTCAAATGTGTGCTTAAAATGATTTTTTTTTGTAGAAAACATCTATATATTGTCCTTGGTGTCTCTAAGAAGTAATTACGGAACTAAGCAGGAGCCACCTGATACTGGGTCAGATGTTTATATCTGTTGGTCACTTTTGTGAGTTGTCTGTTGGCTTGGGATGAAAATTAACCACCAATCTACAGCAGGATTGCCATTGGTTTCCATTCTGCACTTACAAAGCTGTAGCATACCCTTTTTCCAAGTTTTGATAAACACTATATCTTTGATTTTCGAGGTGACTAAAGGGCAGATAAATTTCCTGCGTACACACAGGTTTCCATTAAAAAAAGGGAGAGAGGGATGTTTCAACTCAATGATTGGTAGGCACTCGACTGCTACAAGGAAATCCATGCAACTTTAAGCTGATGTCTTTAGAGTCGAAATATGCAAGGCATTGAAGTTTTATCAGCATGGGCCATTTTTCTAGCTTGGAAGTTGCCATGTCTGGAGAAGGTATCCTCTATTTCTGTCCAGGAATTCGGTTGAGTTGAGAGAGGAATACAAACTAGAGTGTCAGGGGAGATCCTTGACATTCTCAATTTAGGACGATTGAAAAAGGAAATAAGTGCTTCATGATAAAATTTCTAGATATTTCTATTTTTACATCTCTAAGTAATCATTCCAACTAGAATCGAGGTAGCAAAACAAGATTGAAAAAGGAAAGGGTGCATGGAAAGGAAAAGTAAATTGTTCAAACATGATTAGTCATTCTTCCAGAATAGTATTTACAAAAAGTATGATCTTCAGCTAGAATCTTGACCAAGGCTTTTGACCAGGAGATGCCTCCTTATTCCGTTCCATTGAACATTCCCAAGATGTCTCAAGGAATTGTCTGTAATCAATTGAAAAAGCAAGCAAAGATAAGAATATAAGAAATGAAAGTTCTCAAGGAATGAAATTGCAACTAGAGCAATTATTCTACTTTCTGCGGTTCCACTTTCCGATTCACGTTAAAAGTATCAAATTACCTTCTTACGTTCTATGCTAGAGCTTCTAATGGTCAGAGGATGACTGTTGTTGCTCAGGACCTTTTGGCCACATCTGTTGCACCATGTAGGGGTGAGGCTGCTGGGCATACATAGAAGGGTCCACCACAGGCTTCCCCATAATCATTCCCGGAGTCCCAACATGAGGTGCATGCTGGGTAGGCATGTAATATGACAGCGCCTCAGCAGGTCCTCCAAGAGGCATTGTTCCTCTTGAAATTGATGCAAGAACTTCATCTTTCAAATCCTCCCTCGGAACTATGTCAACTAAGAAATCAAATATGTCAGTCCTGGTAATTGCTGCTGCAATATCATTTTTCTGAAGTGTCCTCCTTTTGTTCTCTTCTGTGTGATTCCATGAACGCAATGTCAATTCTAAGATGAACATTTCACATGCCCTGGCAAAAATGACAGGAGCCTCAGCTGATATCATCCTCACATCTTCATCAGCTTTCATGATCTTCTTGATCCTGGCTAAGGGAAGGCTATGGTTCTTGAAATCAGTAACTTTCTCAATTTCTTGATACTGATTTGCCCAAAATGCCTGAAGTTGTTGCTGAAGTTGCTGTAGCTGCTGCTGGTGGATTTGCTGATAAGCAAGTTGGTGCTGTGCAAGTTGAGCTCCCGTTGGCTGACTGGTGGATTGAATGCCTCCAACTGATGTTACAACTGACCCTGGATTTGGGGCCCCAGTCACCTGGTTTTGATACGGGTTCGTGCCATAAGGCATCTGAACTCCGCTACCAGTGATCCCCATAGCTGGGGGCTGTCCATGTCCTTGCTGATCCATTCTAATCTGGTGAACCAATACTTAATGCCTCTGCTTCAAATAAAACAGGAAATGTAGCAATAAACTTTTATTGCATTCTAAACATCCGAAGTCGAATAAGCCTTCTAGACAAGATCAACTCTTTTACAAGGAAAATAAAAAAAGAAAAGCCAGAAAATCAGTGGAATTTCAAATTTATTGATTTCTACTAAGATCCCTTATATGCAAATTGTGTTTGAAACATACAAAAAAACCATCCATCATTTTCCCTTTTTCTTTGTTATTTCCCGAAATCAATACCACTAATACCTTAACATGCAGGATCAAGTTCCATTAGTGATTCAAAGCAAGACCTACTTATGCTTAGCACAGAAATTACCAGCATTTCCAGGAGGACCATAACATAAAACACCTTAAAACAAAACCTGTTGCTTCCATACAAATTAAAGATAATTCCTGAAAATAGTCATCTTTGCTGCAAAAACGTGAATTTCATCCTGATTTACCTAATAAAATTCTCCATCCAAAAAGAAAAAAAAAACAAAAAGAACGAAAAGATTGTAATTGGTCGGCAGCTTATTCAATCAAACAAAACCAATATGTTTGCATTTGAGACGATCATTCAAATAACATCTTCTAAACCAACCCAGATACGTATATGAGTGTATATTATACGTATAAAAGAAATAATACAAAAAGCTTATATTTTAAGGGAAAAATTATACCTTGATTGGAAGACTGAGAAGAACCTGAGACAAACAACTGAAAAAAGAACTGAGATGTAAAGAGACGGGAAGCTTCCAAGATCAAAAGGGCAAAATTGGCTAAAAGGTTTTTTAAGAGAAATTTTCTCGTACGGTGAGAAAGATCCAATTTTGGAAAATTTTCGGGTTGAGATATAGAAAGACAATGAACTTTGAAGATATTTTCTCGTACAAACTAACCTTGGATTGGAAACAACAAAAGCTGAAGTTGTTTCTGTTGTTATTGTGAGTTCTATGTTCAGTTTTGACCCATAATGTCAGAACGCGGAAGCTACTTTTTATTGGGTCTTCCCTGCTTTTTCATTCCTCTTTTTGATTTTCTGACGAAATTACCCTTTTCCTGAAATTACCTTCTGAATTAAGCTTGTTTTGTTTGGCTTTGGGGGGTGACCTTTTTTTTTTTTTTTTTTTATTCTCTTCTCTTCCTAATGTTGAGGTGTGTTTGCCTGCATCAAAATAAAATGATATTGATTTGGTTCGAGTTTGCAAGATCAAATTTTGCATTTTTAGATGTTATAAGAATTGATGATTTGCCTTGCTATTCTTATAGATTATAACTTACAAATTCATGTTTAAGTTAAGTATGTTTGTGACATGTTAAAATATCAGATTTCTTAAAATAAATTTATCAATAAATTCAAATTGTATAAAAGAAGTTGTAGTATGAAGATAAAAGAAAAAGTTATAAGGTTTGAGATTTGAATTTTAAACTTAATAAATATTTTCTTAAAGATGAATACGTTAATCAACTGAATAATACTTCAAGTTAAAATTAATAAATCATTTTAACATATGGAAAGATTCCTCGTCAGGCTGGTCAGCCTCTATTTAATGGGAAGATCCAGAAGCTAAGCATCCAATACTTAATGTTCCAGTCAAGACTGTGATAGTATGCACATTCCAGGGTAGGATAATCCAATTGCAATACTTAGTATGTAGGAACCTGCTTCTCAAAAGGTTTATAGCTTTTACATTCCTGGCAGCAAAACTGGTGGACTTTGCCTGTGCTTTCATAGCACCAGTTAGCTGCTTATATAACTGGTATACACAGTTCATTTGTTAATGCTGGCAATTTCATGGTATATGTAGCTGTGAGAGCTAAGTTTAAGCAGTCATCAGACTAGAAGAATCTGGCCTTTCAAACATAGCATACAATCATCTGGAAAATGCTTTGGACTAGTTGGGGAGTGTAGCTTTTTGGGGCTTCATTTAACCAAATCAAGAATTCTGCAAGGTAAAAGCAAGAAAATGCAACCAAGAACATGTAAACCATTGTGTAAGAACATATTATAAATCATATTATGCTTAGACTGTTGTACTATTAAACAAGTAATTCATTATAATACTGGAGAATCTACCAACTGCCAGATGAAAAATACAATTCCCTCCCAAGATAAAAGTTATCTATCTAGAAATTGCAGACAAAAACTCCCTCAATTCCTTTAATTCATCCTCCTTTGACACAATGAATGTATACAACTCTGGCACCTTGAAACACTGGGACAAGTAGACAACCAACATATATAGTAGCTTTTGAAGCTCTCCAATCTCCATGAATCAGCATTAATGAATTGAATGCCTTCAGCTTAGTGGATCAGACCAATCACCCGGAAAATTTAGCAATGATCAAGATAACTAGTGTGAAAATGATATAAAGGCCAACAAGGCAGAATCCCCAAAATCAAGGCACCTGGAATCTAGACCAAGTTAAAACCGATAGAGATCCATCAGGCTCAAAAGCAAGAAGACAAATGCAATAATGATGCCAATGTGGATGAAGCTGATAGGCTTTTGGATAAACCTGAGCTGTTTGCATTACCAAAGCCGTTCCAAGCCCAACAGGCATCTTAAACATCGGCCCAGTGAAGCATCAAGCCATGGCCATTGCTGGATGGCCTGCTAAGATCTGCCACCGAGTTTCGCCATGCAAGTCCAAGTAGTGCTGGAGGCAATTCAAGAAGTGATCCAAGGGCTGCCAAGCAATTCAGCAATTCCCCAGCAACAGTTGATATCCGGAACACACTCATGTCCAAAGCCACAACCACTACGGGCATTTGCTCGCTCTTTGGGGGTTCTTTTTCCAAAATAAAGTGAAGGACAGCTAGAGAGAAGCTTGCAAAGAGTACTTACTACAAACCAGAATGGGAAACGGGTGTTTGGAAGGAGGAAAACTATGGGGTGATCTAATGGCATGAATGAGTTGCAATCATATAAGAGGGCTAGAAGGCAAAGGGCAGTATTCACAGATAGGTAGAACCTATTCCATGCAGAAGGGAAAGTTTCTCGAATAGTGAGCTTGAGAAGAAATGAGATAGGAACCTTCCATGCTTTTGAGATCTGCATAGAAAAAATACAAAATATTAGGGAAGAGGGATGGTCGAAGTTTATGTGTACAAGCAAAAACATGACTGAGCTGAACCAAAAACCTGGCAAGTTAGATCTCAATTCGAGAAAATTCATGGAACCTATTCCTTTTTCTAGCTCCTAGCATGAAGTAATAAGCAAAATAACATTCCTGTTTTAGCCATTAAGTTGTCAGGTAAATACAAATATTGCACTTATACCTTCAAGGCCTAACAATCTTGCATTGGACTCCTACGTACCCAATATTTCTGAACATTTAAGGAACCCAAATCAATGTGGTATAATTTCATATTTCCAGGTGTATAGCTTAGTTCCATTTTTACAGGTACAAGGATGACAGCATTGACATCAAGGGAAGAATGAACTTCAACAACATATAAACTGCAGTATACTTTGTGATTTCTACAGCCATGGGCCCCATGGACAAGAAAATATTCTACATATCCATCCCTGGAAGGAAGGCTCCTCTCTACACTATTGGTTTTATGTTCATAGCATCCTACATGCACATTCTTCAATTCACAGCAAAGGAACATGGAAAAATTTGCTCAGCTTCTCATCAAATGCATTTAGTATTTCTTGATTGGATTTTGGGGCTACAGACATTGATGAATCACCAGTTTTCCACCTTTTCTTTTGATCAGGTATTTCTAACTCTGCCGCCAGAGATTACAGATCCAGAAGATATCATTAAAGCGTCATTGTCAATCTCTGATTCATCCTCCTCTTCACATAGTGGCACAGCCCCAAACTTGAGTGTTGTCCAAGTCCACTTATTGGGTTCCATTACGATTACCATAGCATAAATGGTTAAAGTAGTGGCAGATGGGTCATGGTCTCATGGCCCCTCCTGCCCAAATCATCAAAACCTAGAAAAACAAATGGCCTCATGGGTCAAGCCATTAACCTGGAACGAATAAAAAACCAACAAGTATGAAAACATTCACTTTCAAAAACTCAAAGCATGGTGCTACTCGCTGGAGTTTCTTCAAAGCTAATATTTGAAGATTGCAATCATAGCAAAGATTTAGTAGTCAAAAGCTGAAGCCAAATGGACCCTTTTTCTAAGATTAGATGGGGATTGATGCCCAACATGTTTTCATATTTGAAACCAACATCATTAAAAATACATTTGGTACATCTTTTGAGAAAGCAACTGATCTGTACCCCCCATTCTCTTTTCTGACCATTCATCCTAGATCCCTCAAACTTCACCTACATTTTCTTCTACATGGTAACCTTACTAGTATTTAATTGTCCACGACTTAAAAAACCCAAGAAAGAAAAAGAGTTTGGAGGATTGATTATCTAGGGAAAACAAAATTTTCCCATTGGCACCAAACAGAAGCAATGTCTTCTTGAAGCTTGCAACCTTGTATAAAGCATCCTAGAGAAGCAAAAACCAAAAAGAAAAGGGAGAAAATGAAAAGCATTACTAATCTAAGAAAATTTTACATGATACTGCAACTGTTTGCGTTCTCATCACTAAAGAAATGAGCATAAGATTCAGAATTTGCTGTATGCATTGGAGGGGGCCCATAATTTGCATGGGGATATGGTTGTGCATACATCATTGGCTGATACATCCCCCCATTTGCATTTGCACGCTGTTGATTCATCATCATGGCCATGTATTGATGTTGGTTATAGGGATTTCCAGGACCCATCCCTGTATAGTACCCACCAATACCATTCATTGCTGCAGCTGCAGGTAGTCCTTGCACTGCAGGAAAGTTAGCCATCTGGCTCATTGGATAATTTCCCATTTGGCCCATATGACCCATTTGACCCATATTATAACCCATCTGACCACCCATTTGACCCATATGACCCATCTGACCACCCATTTGACCCATATGACTCATCTGACCACCCATTTGGCCTATCTGCGCCATATTCTTACCAACCCCGCCACCGCCACCACCACCACCTCCACCTCCCCCCCCTCCTTTGCCATGATTAATGACATCAACATCAAGAAACCCACCATTTTTAATTTTGTTCATCTCATGGGCCCCACCACCATTTTTGCCCCCACCCTTTTTAGCTCCATTGCCATTATTGTTTCCACCACCATTGCCCCTATTACCATTATGGGAACCCTTATTTTTACCATCCCATTCATTTTTACCCTGCTTATGACTACAGCCTTTTCCACCTTTGTCCTTCCTAAAAAATCCAAGCAAACCGCCACCTCCTTTTTTACCACCTTTTTTATCTCCTCCCCCATTGTTTTGCTTCCCAACTTTGTTCTTTTCACCACCTCCTTTCTTTCCTCCATTACCATGCTTCCCATCTTTGTTTTCCCCCATGCCCTTCATTACTATAGGTATGTCAATAACGCCTCCTTTCTTACCATTCATGGCAGGGCCATTAATCATACCATTAGGTCCAGATGGTCGATGACCTTTTCCCATCATTGCTACCATCTTGTTTTGCATTTGATGCCCATGGCCAAATTCCTCATCATCATCATAATCATCCAACTCATCATCAAATTCATCATCCAACTCATCACCGAACTCATCATAATCATCATCAGTTTCATCTAAATCATCCTCAGGCAAGTGAAACTTGACAGATTTCTGGTCTTTGGACCCTTTCATCATTTGCTGCATATGCTGTGGTGCAAATTGCTGCCCACCTTTTTGGTTGTTATTTCCACCACCACCACCACCCTTTTGAGATTTGTTGTCCTTCCCACCTTTGCCACCATCCATATGCATGTTCTTCAACTGGTTTGTGAGTTGATTTGGAAAATTGCTTGAACCCTTTTGAGCTCCCAATAGCTGTGCATGTTTGCCTGACTTCTCCAGCTTCTTGATAAGTATAGTTGGATCAACATTCCCTGTCACTGTTACCCTGCCTTGCTCTGCATTTATACTAGTAGCATACACTCCTGACCCCAAAAAAATCAAAATCAACAAACCAAAGTACCAAACTTAACAAAAATAAAAAAAGAAAAAGAAAAGAAATTTAACATACCATCAATTTTCTGCAACAGTTTCTTTATTTTCTGCTTACAGCCATCACAGCTACACTGTATATTCACTTTGAGAACCCATGTCTGAAACAGAAAAAGCAACCCCAAAACAAGCAGAGAAAAGATTATAACACTATTGAAAAAAGTGCCATAAGTAGAACTAATTTAAGTTACCTGCATCTTCATGACTTCTTGTTTATTCATCCTTTGAGGAACAGAAGAAATTACCTAAGAAACTGAACTGAGAGAGAAAGACAAAAGCTGAAGCTTTTGCTTCTTCGTTCAAGATTTAAGAAAGAGAAGAGCTTAAAGTTGGTTGTTGGGTATTCAAATTTAAAACACCTCTCTTTTGGCTTTGAAAAACTTTTCTTTTTGTAGAGAAGAGGCAAGGTACATGAAGATCTAAATACAAAAGAATATGTGAAAAACAGCTGGGAAGGGAGGGTCTTGATAGTATGAGCAAAGCTGGATCACATGACTTTATACTACTTGAAGCTTCCCAAGTGATTTACAGCCTAATAAAAACTTACTAAATCAAAAGATTAAAAGAGAATTAATGCTAAAAGAAAATTTTAATGGTTGTGTCACAGTGGAACACTTGGGATGGGACCAATCTGAAACACTTGTCTCTGGTCTGTTGTCTGATCTGGTCCCCTTTGCATTGCAGTAGTTTCTGTCCTGTTGTTAGACTTCTTAGCTCAGGCTAGTGGCTTTGTGACAGAATAGAATTGCACATGCTCTGCTCTGAATTGTAAGTAGATATCTGAGTAGATAACATTTGATTCTTCTTGAAATTAAAAGCAAGTTTTCTAGTAGTTAGATAGTGTGGACTTTGGATCTTCGAACATGCAAATAAAAAATAAATACAAAAGAAATTTATGAAAAATAACTAAATTTTTTTTAAAATTAATAAAATATTAATTCAATAGTATTAAAATCGACTTTAATGAAAAAAAAAAAAAACTATGAAAAACAGGGTATAAATAGTTTGGACTTTGGATCTTGGAACATGCAAAGAAAAAGTAAATATAAAAGAAAATTATGAAAAATAAAGTATAGATAAAGAAAAAAAACGACTATCCATTTCAGGGGATAACATCTTAATGTTTAATCAAAATTAAAAAAATTTCTCTACAGTGATGCCAACCAAAAATAAATAAATATTTTGGACTTATCCTAAATGCCAAAACCCATGATCTAATGAAATATTTCGCATAGATATTTGTGCTTTCCCCAATAATACAAATTTAGTTGATTAGTTTGACTTTGGTTATGCATTTCCACTTTATTATCACATTTATTTATTTTTCAATGTTTTTCATATTAAAGCAGTAATTGGTGAAATTAAATTACAAAATGCACATGTAAAGGTGTGTTGTTATAAAATATAAAATGTGTGGACTAACCATGTGAGCTCTTTTTTAATAGGGATTTCCTAAGGTAAAGTAAATAATGATTTATGATAAATTTACAATTTAAATTTAATTTATCCATTGAATTATTTTTAAAAATAATGTAACGGATTTGAGATTCAATAACTTCTTGTAATTTTTTTTATTCTCAAGTTACGATTTAAAAAAAAAAAATTACTGTTTTGAAATTACTAACTTTCCTACATATATTAATAAAATTTTTTATTGATTTATTTAAATTGATAAAAGTTTTTCATTATAAGGTTAATGCCACCCTAGAATTAGTTATAGACATAGCCAAATTTAAATATATTTTAATTAAATCTTATGAAAAAAAGAGAGAGAAAAGATTAATCAATAAAAAGACATGTCTTAACTAAAATTAATATCTTGATTGCATTTGAATTCATAAATTCTTAAGCAACAAGCACACTGGCAGGGATTAAATACAAAATGTGGCATTATACTATGTCAAATATTGAAATTTCTCCCTGTATTTTAATTTTATTGATTTTTACCATTATATTTTCATTTTCAATTTTTTTTAATAAAAAATGAATTAAAATATTTTGTTAGTGCAAGTGGTAAATTTTCGTCAATTCCATTATCTTTTGTCTAAAAAACCAAAATTAAAATAATAATAAAAATAACAAAAATTGAAATATAATGACGAAATTCAACATTAACCTATAATATTATGACAAATTAAACCTTAATCTCACATTCACCGTTGTGTTTCTTACTTTTAAATTTTACCTAATTAATGAAAAGCAAAAGGAGGAAATAAAGTATAGGACATAATCATTAGTACATTACATAAGTTAAATTCTTTTTTTTTTTTCTCTCTTAACATGATTAGTTAAGACGTGCAAGTTTAATGAAAGCAAAAACATTGTCCCAAAGGATTTCAAAGGATGATTACAACTAGATATTGGCTTTGATATATAAATAAATTTACCATTATGTAATAACCAAAATAATATAAAAAAAAAATTCAAGCAAGATTATCATATATATTTTAAAATTTTTGTAATTTTTATAAGGCATGATAGAAAGAATCTGAATTCCTTTTACAAAAAATTTAGATAAACGGAGTTTATTTCGATAAAAAAAAAAATTTACGATATAACATGATTTTTTTTTTTACTTTTTGTACGGCAATCAAAATATTTGTATTGTTTGTCCACCTTATTTAGCAGTTGGTTTTAGGGTAAAAAATTACTGTCCCCACATGTCTTCTTTATATTTGCTTTTCTCTGTAAAAGATGCCTGAATGGTGACAAAACAAGAAAAAAAAAAAAAAGGATCCCCCACCATAGGTACATCCCCTGAAAAAATCAAAATAACCCTTATAAAAATGGGGTTAAGCTTCGAATATGACTTTTCTTCTACTCTACAACTTTTGACTACCAACCTTCTTTATTAATCAGCAACATTGGATATCTCATCAATTGGATTAGATTAAATTCCATGATGATTATCATTATCAAAATGGAAAAAATATTCTTCTAAAGTTGGTTTTATAACTTTGGATCATATGGTTACAATGCTTTTGGATCATATATGCACTAGATCAACAAATTGCTTTAGTTTTAAAACGAAGAATAATTCAAAGTACTTTTTTCTTATTCCTTTTATTATATTTTATCAGCAAAATGCGTAAATTTATCTATGCAAAGTTAGAATTTTGATGTATTTTCTACATACCACATTTCATGTAAAATTGCATAAGAGTGCCTATCGGGCAATTTCTAGAGTGTGATATGAAAATCACATGAGAGCTTTGGGAAGCCTTGTTGAAGGGAAAAATGGAAGACTAGAGGAAACCATGACTATGATGGCTTATTGCAGTCTGGTTTTTGGACTGACATTTTTATCTGATGGCTTATTGCAGTCAATCAAACTTGATCAGAAGGGGGGTAAAATAACAGTTCGATGTTGCTATTCACCTAAATAAAAGTGATCAGCAAGAGCTGTATAACCAGCTTTTGTCACTTCCTCTTTTGCATCTGTCTTAACAGTAGAAAACATAGAAGAGAAATGTTGCAGCTTACGTTACTGACATTGAAATTATTTCCAGAAATGCAAGTCAGGCTATTCAATTTTCTGAGTTTATGCAATTATAATATGCAAGCTATTTCGATTCAAGCAATACTTACTTAAATGATGTTGCAATAATATTTGTTTGGAGCATTTTGAAATAAAATCCTGATCGAATGCACCAGATTACGGTGAGAGAGTATATTTTTAAGATCGTTCGGAAAGTGATTAGGTTGAAATAGAGTCTGAAGATCATATAGAATTTTCAATTTCAGAATTTGAAGTTTAAATCTAAATTGAAATAAATACTGATTTGTAGCATAGAACTAAATTTGTTGGTCAAAATTTTTAAACAGTGTTAAAGTTAGGTTATGGCCATAAAGAATTATTCAATTCCAAAAAGTTTTTTAGCACATGAAAAAAAGAAGGGCTTAACTATAGGACCAAGAGGATAGTGACATGTATCCACAGCTGGTTGAAAATTAAGTTGGGTCCCCAACATGAGGGTCAGTTGACAAGGTGTGGAGGGTTCCCAACCCCCCAAACAGGAGCCAGTATTAGTACTCTTTTTGTTGGACAGTCACCTCAAGCTCCTAAGGGCGCAGGCTTTCCTTTGTTTGAGATAAGATTTGAGGTATGGTTGGTGTGATGACAGCTAAATGTGAGTAATTGACCTGGTAACTGACAAGGTTCAGTGGTTCTTCGGCCCTGTGTTGAACCCCATGACCATGACCATGACCATGACCATGCGCCATGCCAAGCCAAGCTAGCCTAATAAACAGGATCTCGTTTGACTAGATAAAATAATAATCAAACCTCAACCAATCCCACCACCAACCTTTCCAATGTTCAGATTGATAAAAACAGTATATATGGTTTGAATTAGCCAAGATTAGTTTTAATGGCCAGAATTCAGAAACTTCTTTACAGATGAAGAGAGAATTAGTTGTAAATGTTTTAGTTTGATGTTGAATCAAATCCTTCAAGTTTGTAAATAATTTCTAAGCTTAAAGTCTAAAATTTCATACCTGAAACCTTTTTTTGATTTCGAAGGTTTCCAGCACCTAAGACTTTTGTTGATGCATACAGATCAGGACATGCCATGAAAGAGGTTGAACATTGAAGAGATAACAAAAGCATGATGCCCTCACATTACCTAATTTGACTGCTAAATGGATGTGATTCACTGTAGATATATGACAAATCATATTAATGATTTGGAAAATTTCAATTCACCTTATCTGTTTCTTTGCAAAAGATTATCCAATGACTTCAAAAAACCTATTCATTTGAATTTAAAGCTTAATTTAATTAATTCATACAATTATCTTTAAAAGATGACATCTAATAGGTTTAAAGTTTAAATTTTATTACCACAGTACCTTCCCCTCACTTAAGGCATGGGAATAAAGAAATTCTTGATATATTAACTTATTTATTTACTTTTGAATGTGAGGAAGTGTGAATTCAAATGTCATTCAAATGCTGACATGAAAATCGAGGCCAACATTTTGCTGTAAAGAACAATTCCAACAAAGATTCAAATTCTGCAAACAATAAGCACAAACCCCCTTGATTCTTTTTCACTTTAAGGTACCATTCAAAGACAGGAGACCTCACTTTTGTCCTCCTCTTCTCTCAACACAACACAATCTTCACGTAAACTTTAAGACAACAAATATTCTCTCTGCCTTTTCTGTTCCACAAGCCTCAGAGAGATTGTGACAGACAGACGTGGAGAGAGAGCAAGGGAAAAAAATACTACAGGTTCAACTCAACAAGCTTGTTTAATTTCTTTCTAAAGCAATATGACAAATTTACAAGAAACATTAAACTCTTCTGATCAAGCGTTAAATTCTCTGAAAAGATTCAACCCAGTGTATTTAAGTGTACCAGCAAAGTGAAACCATACCAAAAGTTTAAGTTTAATGAAAGACAAAATGTTAAATTCTCTGAAACGTTAATCTTCACCAGTGAGAATCTCTTCAATGATTCAGAAGAAATTGAAGACGCTCATGAAGATATATAAGTACTTCAAAAGCTATATAATTATGTCCCATGTAATTTGGGTTTGGTTGATTGGGAAAAATAAAAAAATATTAATAGGTTATTTAGATTAAAAAATTATCATTTTTTCAAATTTTTTATTTTGAATGCCAACAACTAGATGAAGAAAAATAGCTAATTTAACAGGATTTTATTGAATAAAAACTGGTTCTTTAGCCTAAATATGGTTGTTTATGAGGAGGGATGATCTCAGATTGTGTGTATATTTTGGAAAATGTAGGTGATTTAACAGAGTATTGATAGGTGATTTCTTGAAGAAAGTTTTGTTTTTTATCTTTAAATGTTGTTATTTATGATGTAGGTTACTCACAAATTTTGTGTTTGTTGTGTAAACTTTAGGTGATTGTAGATGGGAGAGACTGAGGATGGTATGAGGCCAAAGAAAGTGGTTTTTGTGACTGTAGGAACAACGTGTTTCGATGTGCTTGTTAAAGTAGTGGATTCTCTGGAAGTTAAGGATGAGTTGTTAGGAAGAGGATATCCTTCCCTTCTCATTCAAATGGGTCGAGGGTCATATCTTCCTACAAAGGTATATCAGAACTTTAGGGGACTAGTGAGTAGCTCTTCATTATAACTTATATAAGGTAATGATCAATAATTTTTAATGGGAAAAAATAGAAGTCATTATTGTAATTTTTTTGATCAAATTGGTGATGTGGGTTAGATTTATGGATATGAGTTCAAAGAAGAGCAATAAATCTAGGGAAGTATGAAGATCTTCTAACAGCATTCAAAATTAATAGGCATGCTCGTAAATTTGAATGGTTCAAAAATTTAATGGTAAAGATGGAGTTTTACTTCACTAGATATCCAAATTAATCAATGCTACTTTTTTTTCCTGAACTGAAGATCGCATCCTCGTCTTCCTCATATTCTTATTCTAGTAATTTTCATAAGGTTTATTTTTTTAATGTAGTCTACTGGTGATGATGGATCTTTGGCTGTAGACTACTTCACATTTTCATCAAGCATTGCTGACCATATGAGTTCTGCATCTCTTGTGATCAGTCATGCAGGTAGTTATTATTATTATTATTATTTTTGCTTTTACCCTGTTATTATCCATCTTTCCTTGATAAAAAGTTTTATATCACTCTTATCTTCCTTTATTCGTACTGCAAATATAGAACATGCTTATTGGATGTTATCTAATTGGTTGGACATAATCTGTAGTTCTGTGTATTGTTCTTCCTTCAGCAAAAAATATATCTGAGAACTGTGGCATAATCCATGATCACATTATCAAGTTATTGCATTGGCTCTATTCACAACATATTGTTAATTTAGTTGTTGGACATATTTTCAAGGATCTGCAAAGTGCCTAACTCCTTGAGAGAATTCAAGTAAATCTGTAAATACACTACCACTGAACCTTTTTGTCTCTTTGCTTTGATCCAAAGATGCAACACACGATTGACATGGCACAACTTTCCAAAGTCATTCGTAACCTAAAGATTTGTTTCATTATTGTTAAATTCCCATTTTTGGGTTGTCATTGAGTTGTTCTGCCATTGTCACATATACTTAATTTGGTAAATTCTCAAAATTTTGATGAGGAACTGTTTCCAACTGTTTTACAGGCTCTGGGAGCATATTTGAGACCTTGCGGCTTGGCAAACCTCTAATCGTGGTGGTCAATGAAGATTTGATGGATAATCATCAGAGTGAGCTAGTAGAAGAACTCGCAGAGAGAAAGCATTTATATTGTGCTCATCCTCAGACACTTCACCAAACTATAGTTGGTATGGATTTGAAATCTCTTCTTCCATACTCTCCAGGGGATGCCACACCAGTGGCCAAACTCTTAATCAGGTTTCTTGGTTTTCCAGAAGATTGATGAGGCTGAATATAGTATAAGGAAGTGAGCAGTTTATGTTCCTTATGGTCCAACTGCAGTTATGAGCATTTTGATGTTCCCTTGAATATACCCAATGGGCCTTACCTGAAGATTTATTTTGCAATATTTCTTTTCCCTGGCAGAAAGTTCCTTTTAAGTTTGCATAGATATCATATATTCTTACAAACTTTCACCCATAGATTATAAAGGAGTTGCAGGTGTCCAAGTTAAGTCATTGGAAATTTGGAACCTTATAACAACTTTGGCATTGGAAACTAGAAAGTCGAGCAAGAAGGTTAGCTGGTGCATGGCAACGGTAAGTCGTAACGTTTCACAAGCAAAATATAAGCAAAACATTTCAGAACACATGTAATGCATGTAGAATTGAGATTGAAATCATGAATTTATGATTTGAGTTTTAAACCTGCAGAAGCTATTGAACTCTTGTGAGTCGTGATTATGCCTGATTGTTTAGTAATGTTTCATCTGATGTCAATAGATTATAGTTTGGACTCTTCGATCAATGAATTCTGGTTTCCCTGTTTTGTACGCAAGATACTTCTGATCTGGTTTGGTGCTTTTGTGTGCTCTGGAGCAGCACATGTGAAGTCTGTGACAAGTCCACAAAGAAAGCCATAGCCTCTCCTTAAGGGCCAACAAGTTATTTTCCAACATGTGAAGTGAAATGCAGGCCATAGGATCCCAAAAAAAGAAAAAGGTGAAATCTCCAATACAGAAGTAACTGCTTCCAAATGCCCCCTTATTGCTTCAGTTCACCAACTTGCAAGCTGTATTTCAATGAGATCTGAAATTTTCTCCCAAGTTGTCAAAGCATGAGAATGACCTGTAAGTTTGGAATAGATTCCATACACATTTGCAAGTTTATTACAATATGGTAAGTTAATGAATTTTCAGTTAGAACCCAATTTTCTCCAATTATGGAAGCAACCAGATCAATATTTTTGTTACAACAGTCCTCTATTCTAGCCTTGCAAAATAAGAAATTGCCAGTAACAATTTTCTCATCAATTATTTTCATTTCTTCTAATACAGGTCTGTTGATTGTTATCCTATTCTTAACCCATCAAGAGTGCAATTCTATTGGAATTTTCACTCGAAATCTCTATCAAATCTTTCTCTGGAATTAAAATTTAACTATTGCTCTGTCAGGCTAAAGCTTCCAGAAAATAGTAAAACAACAAATCACCCTTATAAGTACGGCTTTTTAAAACAATATGACAATACGTTAAAAATTCATTTACGTAAAATTGCGATTGAAAAGCAAATTAAAATCAATAAATAAAAATTTTTACTTTAAAAAAAAAAATTGCAAAGATAATGGACATATCTGCGCAATGCTCGTGGCTTTAATGCCAAAAATTAATTAGAGTATCAATAAATTCTTAAAATTGTTGAAAGAAAAAAATTGCCATTAAACAGGGGGGCGGCTTGAGTCACCCGCCGGTCCAACCGGCAAACTTGAGGTCCCTTCGCCATCCTTTGTTGCCACCTTTGGTGACTTCATGGAGGATGCTCTACTGAAAAACGGTGGTGTCATACTAAACACCCACCGGTCCGACTTAACTTCCCGGTCCAACTTTTCCAACCTCCTAATAGATGTTCCTCTACTACTTCCGCCATCTTCTCCGGCTCGATATCCTCGCCGTGAACTCCTTTCCCTAGGTAATATCACCAAGCTCGTTGCCCTGTTCAGCTTCCGGTTTATTAACTGCTTCCGAACCTCCACCGGTAATCGCAAAGTGAACCGGTCAGTGTTCTCACCAGGCTGGACCAAAGAGTGTCCGGTCGAGTGAGACCGTAAGAAAAAGAGTTTACGTGTACGGCTGGATCTTGATCCACGTGTACGGTTCGTATTTAAAGTTCGGTTCATAACAATTACTTCAACCTCGGGAGCAACTTGAGCCTCGACGTCACGGTTAACATTTTGAGTATTATTTCCTCTTCTTTCTTCTTCCGTTTCCGAGTCACCGCCGTCGTTCTGAGCCTCGAGGTCTAACTCGTTGGTGGTGTTATTCGACTCGGTAGGTTGACTCGCAGGGTCACCTGGTTGAGGAGCGAGATTAGCTCTACAAACCGGGCAAGTAGTGTGAGAAGCCAACCAAGCGTCGATACATTCAGGGTGAAAAACGTGGTCACATTTGGGTATTAAACGCAGCGTTTCATCGTCATCGAATTCATTCAAACAAACCGCGCACTCCAGCGCTCCTTTGCCGATCTTATGAACCTTAACTTCGGAGTAAACCATGGTGGGAAAAGTCTCGATCACCGAAGCATCAAGTCCACGCGTCCCATGCCGGGAACGGCCGGCACCGCCAGTGACAGGGCGGACGCTGCCTCCGCTGGCGTTGGTATCGGAGCAGTTCCGTATGTAAATCGAGAAAAAACCCATAAAGAACAAAACAGCAACCAAAGCGGAAACGATTATGGCCAAGGATGGGGTAAAACGCGCGTAAGGGTATCGCTCGTCGGTTTGGTTGGTGGGTTGTGCGCTGGAGGGAGGCGGAGAAAGGAGGAAAAAGAGGAGAAAGAATAAGGAAACGATTCCATGCTTGGCAGTGAACGACATGGTGAGAGGCGGAGCATTTGGAGAGGAATGAGACGAAAGAACGGTGGGGGAGGGGGGGTTTAAATGAGAGAGGGGCGGAGGAGGTGGGGTCCACTAATTTAGACAATTTCTTTGGTGTGTTTCTTTGGGAGTTTGAAATTCAGACACGGTGAGCCACATGGGGAAGGTGCCCAAGAACAGGAGATTTTGTACTGTTCTGATGTCAGAACTGACATATAAGTATTGTAAATTTGGAGGTACGGTAACGATAAATTAAAAATAATATTAATTATTATTATAAATATGAATAAAAAATTATTATAATAATTATTAAACAATTAATAAAAAATTTTTTTAACTAAAATTAATATTTAAATTTAATTAATGGTGATTGAAGTTTAATTGCTTTTCATTAAATATGCATTTGCATTCAAATATAAATTAAGAAAATTGCATCATTAAAATTTTTAATTTTTTTACTAATATTTCATTTATAATTGTTATTAATATTTTAATTAAAATTTAAATATTTTTGAATGAAATTTATATGTACGTGAAGTTTTGACGAATATATGCATGATAAATTCTGTCATTAAAATAAATTTTGAAAATCTTGAGCAAAAAATTAATGATAAATTTTACTTATATAATTTAATAGTACTAATCTTAGTAATTATAAAAATTAATTACTCTACTATAATACTAACTTTGTTTTAGCGTTTTATAAAATATATATATACATAAATAAAAGAAAAGCAATAATTTGATAATATTAAAAATAATGACAATAAAAGTAACCATTACAATGGTTGTCAACGATATGATTAAAATAATAAATAATATTTTAATTATATTATATCGTGTCGCATCACCCTTTGATTCAAAATTAATTTAAAAATTTATTCACTGCGTAATTTTTTTTTTTTGACAAGTATTTGAGTGGGGTTTTAGAGCAATCCATAAAATCACTACTGACCATGAACAAGATCCAAGTAAATTATTTTAATCCAATTTTTTATTAAACATATCAAATAAAAATTATTTTTAAAAGTAAAAAAATATATTTAAAAGTTTTTTTAATCATTTTTAATAAAAAAAAATTTAGAAACTTGGTCTAAGAAAATTTACTAAAATCTTGTCAGCTGTGCCGCCAAATTAATCTATAATTTCTTAGCACAGTTCTGAATCTTGAAAGAATCATTTCCTTCGTTAATTGATTATTTTTTCTTATTAATGGCTCAAACACACCACTTTAAACTGGTTAAAAAAATAGATTCAATCCCAGGAAGCCTGAAAGAAATTCTTGATCTTCAAGTTAGGTCAGGGAATAATTAAAATTAATAATATAAAATATGAGACAATAATATAATATAAATATAATATGAAAATAAAATATTAAAATTTAAAATTTAAAATTTAATAATAATTATATATATAATAAAATAAAAATATTATATATTTTTATATCTATATAAATTATAAAATATAATTTTTTAATAAAATATGATATAAATATATAAATTTTAATATTTTATATGATATAAATATATAAATCATTAATAATAATAATAATAGTAATAATAATAATAATAATTGTAGGCATGAGGGCTAGGGAAGTAGCAAAAGCAGAGTTTGCCAGGAATTTGTTGTTCCTGGAAGCCTCCTGCAACATTAGTCAAAAGCTTCCAGAAACAAGAACATGTTCCATGGGACCCCAACTTAACTTATCTATACAATTATTATGGAAATTTAAAGGAAAACCAAAGCAAAAGAAAAGAAAATAAAGAGTTGAAGGGACTTGAGAGGTTAAAATTTAAGTATTGGATTTGAGTAACAAATGATGTTTATATTCGTATCAATTCAAATTTGAATAAATTTAAAATTTATTAATATTTTATTTCAAGTTGACTTGATTCATAAATAAATTTATTAATAATTAATGCGGTTATTTAATTTATTTTTTAATAGTTATATTTTTATTTTTCATCCATAAAAAATATTCTTTTTGTTTCAATAAATTTGTGTTATATTAATTTTTTGGATAAATAAACACAATTTTGATTTATTATTATTTTTTATTTTTTAAGTTATACATTACGATTATATAATTAATTTAATAATCAATAATTATATTACTAAATAATCAACCTTACACATAATGAGACTTGAATTTAGTAAGATTCTAGGGTTTTTTACTTGTCATTACACTAAAATCTCATTGATATTTTGATCATTATTTTTAATAAATCGTAAAACAATAAAATGTTTAAAAATAATATTTATAAAATTTGAGTTTTAAAATTTTAAAAAGCATATTTTTTAAATTTTAATTCAAAATAATATTTAAAAAGAAATCATGTTTAAAAAAAATTAAATCCAAATAAAATTTGAAAACATATTCAATTATCTTATAAAAAATAAAATTTTAATTCGTTAACATGTCATGTCATCTTTGATCAAAGGATTTTCTTTATTGTATTCGTTGTACTAGAAAGGAGAGAATTAAGCTTGAAATTCTTGAGTAATGTAAAGATATATGTAAGAATTAGATTCTGGCAGCTAACAAGAAAACTGTGTGGAGATTGGATAAGATGTGAAGGCTGAAAGCTGAGGCTCCCTTTTGTTTATATTCTCTTCTCTTTCACACAGGCATGACTAGAAAAGAAGACCAGTATTGTGCTTTACTGAGCTTTTAAGCAAACGAATAGATGGCAAGCAAGTGATGAGCAAAACGCGTAATAACCAAAGTTGAATGATTTATTGACCAACTCACCCAGCAATATTGACTCAAACCTAATGACTATGGTGAAAGGGATTTTCATTGTGTCGTGATTATGAGTATCGATTTAAAGATTCGGTCATAAAATGATATCTATATTACTGTGAGTCGCCTCTCGTCATATGATCAAATATAAGGGTGATAATGATTTGATTTTTTTAAATAATATATAATATTATAAAATTTAAAATTAATTCAAATTTAAATTAATTTTTTTAAAATTAATTTGATCCAAATTAAATTTTATTTATTTAGTTTGATTCATTAATTTTTAAATTTTAATTTTTTATATACAATTTTAATAAGATTTTTAATATATTTAAATAGATTTATATATAAAATAATTTTTTATTTTATAAAAATTTAAAAAATATATAAAAATTAATAAAAATACATATTTCAATTTTTAAAAGTTTTCATCCTGATTTGAGATTTGATTCGTACTTAATATATATTTAATATTTGAATTAAATTCTAACCTAATAAAAAAAAATCTCAACCATATACTATAATTTCAAATCATTTTTTAATTTTTTTCTCACTCCTAACCAAATGAATAAATCTATTGAGACAAACTTTTTTTTTTTTATCTATCTCGATATTGAATGCACAATCTTATAAAATATGATACGTTTTTTGGAAAATTAAATAATTTGTTTACTTTAGGATTTTTATAATAAAACTATATATTATATTGTAGTTAGTTGTTTATTATAGCCTAATGTAAAGGGTACTTCAATTATAAATATGGATGGTTATTATTTTGGAGTTTGAGTTAAGTGAAGCAAATTTTATATTTGTTAAGAGCACACTTTTACAATTCTAACTTGTAAATATTTTCCAGAATTAAAATCTTGACCGTTCCATGATAAATATTTTTTTCATGGTGAGTCAAATTGTCTAGAAGCTGACTTTTGTTGTTAAGTTAAATTAAATTAATTAATTTGTTAATTTCTGATTCTTTTCATATCTTGGCAGCCATCCATGTTTACTCATTTTTGTTATTGAATCCCAAGAATTTGCATTCATACTTTGAGTCTATCACCTTCATCAAAGATATATTAAAAATAAAATCGTAACATGGGATATATAAAGAAAGAGATAAAATTTAAATTTTGGATGTATTTGATGTCAATTTTAAAAGATAATAACATGAATAGATTAAATCATCAGATTCGAAACTTAATTAATTTTTCATAAAAAAAAAAAATTTCACAAATTTAATTCTACCAAGTTTTGCCTTCCCATAGAGTGTCAAATGCTCTGTATGACTATTGAAGATTCCAATCTGATCCTGGTTTTTGGCATATAATTATATATAATATATGATTAGAGAAGCATACAGTGGAGATTTAAGCAATTACAAGACTGGCTGTGCAGCCAAATCCACTCTTCAATTTCTAACCCTTTGAATGATACATTTTCTTTCTCAGTTTTCTAGTTGATTCAGAGGCGTCTTGGAATTGGTTTACCCTTGAATTCTAAAGAAGGCTGCTATAAATTGTTAAATATGCTTGGACCATTCATGGCAAGCAAATTTGTGAGTCTTTTGGAATCTGATTTTTGGAAGGGTTAAACATTAGTTTATCAGCTTCTCTCTCAAATTACTATGATTCCAAACTAAAAATTATTCTATTACATCTTCATATTTTGCTTCGTTAAATCTTTTTTATAAAATTGATGGAAAATATTTTTAGATTTTATCTGAAACTAATCTTTTTCAAACAATTTTAAAAATGTACGTCATAATCGATTAAGCTGGATCCAAAAAAAAAAAACAAAGAAATTGTGGAGCTCTCTTGTTGACATTCTCCTTACCTAACATGGCCAAAATGCTTTGAATATTTCAAGCAAGAGTGGGGAGCAAGCAAATCTATAGCTTAGAAGCAAAATAAAACAAGAAAGCTACCCATATAAAATCTTTATTGACCAAGTCACCCATCAATTTTGACTGAAAATCCAAAGATAGAAAGGTATATAGTCTTTCCATAATTCATCCTTGAAGCAAACGACACTTTTTTTTTTTTTAATTAGAAACAAATGTTATAAATAGAACTCCTTGCGGATGGCATGGTACCAAATTGAACGGCTCAACATTGACAATAGGACAAATGATTAATCATTAATTAATGAACTTCCTAGCTAATCTAATAACTTATCCATATTTAATACAACATTAATAGCTCATGGTTGATCTTATTTCTAATTCTAAATTAGTTATCCCTAACATATCATATAAAAAATTAAGTTTGATTTTGAATTCCCGACAACTATACATAATATGGGTTAA